GATGTTGACGGGAGGAATTGTGGCTGCAATGATTGTGCCCAAAGCGAAAGTGGGCTTGAAATACCTCTGGTTCTTCTCATCCGTGTTCTTCTTCGCCCTCATGATTGCAGCTTTGCAGGTCGATGTCGCCAACGGCACCGTGAAGAATAGGCCGGCCGACGTTCAGTTGCTCTTTTCTCGCTTGGAATGGCTGACCATCATCTCATGGTCGGGCTATCCGGTCGTGGTGCTCTTGGGACGGGCTCATGCAGGGCTGATCTCCAAAGGAATGGAAGATGCCCTGCTCTGCATTTTGGACTGCATCTCCAAAATCGGCATGGAGGGCTTCGTCGTGGCACCTTGGCTTGAAGAGAGATCTCACCCAAGTGAATTTGCATCTCGAGAGTTTGTTTTGAATTCTTTAGGCTTGGAGAAGCTTTTAAGATATCCATGCTGCCGTTGCTGCATCTCAAGAGGTTGTTTTAAGTACTTTAGGCTCGGAGAGGCGAAGCTGGGAGCTTTCGCCCTGCCACTAAGACTCTCTCCCCCTCATGCTTCGTCACTCTACAGTGCTCTCCAAGGCAACCTGTTCGGCTGAAGGTGCTCAGTGCCACGTCAAGGACAAAGCTTACTAAGCCTACCGGGCGAGTGGCATGTAGTGAGTTGGCAACACAGCTTTTAAGTCTGCCACCGTGAACCTTGTTCGCCAAAGATTTTCGGGGAACTGGCAGCAAAGATGATTTTCTCAAGCCCCTTCACAAGGAGGTACATGTCATCTCCGGAGGCCGTGCAGAATTCGGATTCTGTCGAGCCAGGGCATCATGTTTTCAGCTGCACAGCGAAGCTGTGTTCAAGCAGTTATGAACAAGCAAGGACGGACGGACGCGCAACGAAAGCTTGCATGTCCTTGCCCATTCATGGTTGTGGAATGTTTACATGGCGGCGTTGCTTCGCGTAACTTCGATCCCGATAGATGCATGCCAGGTCAAGTCTGAAATGTGCTATGGAAATGAGGAGGAGAAGACCCACAGGCCGAACATGGCGGAATGCTTTCTTCGGATTGTTCATGGGGCAAGTTCCTTGAACCATGCTCCGCAACCAATGGTATCATGAGCCACAGTCACCGCATCTGCAGTTTTTTGGTGCCATTGTTGGATCCTTAGGTGGCACGGTTGTCCTTTGGGATGCGCTTGTTGTGCTAGAGCTGACGAACGAGCCTTCCATGCACGACCCTGCAGCTAGCAGCTAGCAGGTGCGGCCAAGGGGAAGCCAACGGAAACTGAGGCCTCGCGCTGGAAACTGGTCGTTGAAAATCACAGTTAGCAACCGGCGATCAGCATGGAACTCATGATGGCAGTTTGTCGAGTCAGCTGCACCTCAAGACTCTTGCGCCTGGACATGGGGCTCAAGCGGCCCAGTTTCAGTTGCAACTCCTCAGCTGTTGTAAACAAGCCCTTCGCCCGCCGATCATGACTGGTGCCAAGGACGAGACGAGCTCTCCCCAAAAAGCGGGTGAGGTTGAAGACATTGAAGCAATGATGGGCTCGGAGAAGCCTTCAGAGACGGATCTGACGGAGCTCCCGTCCAAGAAGCCATCCCTTCTTTCAATCCCCCTAGAAACAATCGGGCACAAGCTTTCGCAGAGGCAGGAGACGGTGAACAGCAGCCAGCACAAATGGTGGACCTACAAATTTGCTCACGGTGTGGCTTGGGTGGTCCAGATCCTCTTTACCCTCGCATCCGTGGTGTTGCTGGCACTGTGGATCCGGCATGTGCATCCCGAAGCCTATGTGGTCACCTTCTTCGTGATGGTGATCGCTGCTTTGGCCTACTTGGCAAAGGTCACTGGCATGGGTGATATTACAATCGGTGGCAGAAAGGTCCCAGTGATCAGATACATCGATTGGATCACCACTACACCGTTGATGCTCTTCGAGTTGTGCATGATTGGCGGGGCCGAAAAGCACACCTTCTTCATGGTCATCGGCTGCGATCTCATGATGTTGACGGGAGGAATTGTGGCTGCAATGATTGTGCCCAAAGCGAAAGTGGGCTTGAAATACCTCTGGTTCTTCTCATCCGTGTTCTTCTTCGCCCTCATGATTGCAGCTTTGCAGGTCGATGTCGCCAACGGCACCGTGAAGAATAGGCCGGCCGACGTTCAGTTGCTCTTTTCTCGCTTGGAATGGCTGACCATCATCTCATGGTCGGGCTATCCGGTCGTGGTGCTCTTGGGACGGGCTCATGCAGGGCTGATCTCCAAAGGAATGGAAGATGCCCTGCTCTGCATTTTGGACTGCATCTCCAAAATCGGCATGGAGGGCTTCGTCGTGGCACCTTGGCTTGAAGAGAGATCTCACCCAAGTGAATTTGCATCTCGAGAGTTTGTTTTGAATTCTTTAGGCTTGGAGAAGCTTTTAAGATATCCATGCTGCCGTTGCTGCATCTCAAGAGGTTGTTTTAAGTACTTTAGGCTCGGAGAGGCGAAGCTGGGAGCTTTCGCCCTGCCACTAAGACTCTCTCCCCCTCATGCTTCGTCACTCTACAGTGCTCTCCAAGGCAACCTGTTCGGCTGAAGGTGCTCAGTGCCACGTCAAGGACAAAGCTTACTAAGCCTACCGGGCGAGTGGCATGTAGTGAGTTGGCAACACAGCTTTTAAGTCTGCCACCGTGAACCTTGTTCGCCAAAGATTTTCGGGGAACTGGCAGCAAAGATGATTTTCTCAAGCCCCTTCACAAGGAGGTACATGTCATCTCCGGAGGCCGTGCAGAATTCGGATTCTGTCGAGCCAGGGCATCATGTTTTCAGCTGCACAGCGAAGCTGTGTTCAAGCAGTTATGAACAAGCAAGGACGGACGGACGCGCAACGAAAGCTTGCATGTCCTTGCCCATTCATGGTTGTGGAATGTTTACATGGCGGCGTTGCTTCGCGTAACTTCGATCCCGATAGATGCATGCCAGGTCAAGTCTGAAATGTGCTATGGAAATGAGGAGGAGAAGACCCACAGGCCGAACATGGCGGAATGCTTTCTTCGGATTGTTCATGGGGCAAGTTCCTTGAACCATGCTCCGCAACCAATGCTATCATGAGCCACAGTCACCGCATCTGCAGTTTTTGGTGCCATTGTTGGATCCTTAGGTGGCACGGTTGTCCTTTGGGATGCGCTTGTTGTGCTAGAGCTGACGAACGAGCCTTCCATGCACGACCCTGCAGCTAGCAGGTGCGGCCAAGGGGAAGCCAACGGAAACTGAGGCCTCGCGCTGGAAACTGGTCGTTGAAAATCACAGTTAGCAACCGGCGATCAGCATGGAACTCATGATGGCAGTTTGTCGAGTCAGCTGCACCTCAAGACTCTTGCGCCTGGACATGGGGCTCAAGCGGCCCAGTTTTCAGTTGCAACTCCTCAGCTGTTGTAAACAAGCCCTTCGCCCGCCGATCATGACTGGTGCCAAGGACGAGACGAGCTCTCCCCAAAAAGCGGGTGAGGTTGAAGACATTGAAGCAATGATGGGCTCGGAGAAGCCGTCAGAGACGGATCTGACGGAGCTCCCGTCCAAGAAGCCATCCCTTCTTTCAATTCCCCTAGAAACAATCGGGCACAGGCTGTCGCAGCGGCAGGAGACGGTGAACAGCAGCCAGCACAAATGGTGGACCTACAAATTTGCTCACGTTGTGGCTTGGGTGGTCCAGATCCTCTTTACCCTCGCATCCGTGGTGTTGCTGGCACTGTGGATCCGGCATGTGCATCCCGAAGCCTATGTGGTCACCTTCTTCGTGATGGTGATCGCTGCTTTGGCCTACTTGGCAAAGGTCACTGGCATGGGTGATGTTACAATCGGTGGCAGAAAGGTCCCAGTGATCAGATACATCGATTGGATCACCACTACACCGTTGATGCTCTTCGAGTTGTGCATGATTGGCGGGGCCGAAAAGCACACCTTCTTCATGGTCATCGGCTGCGATCTCATGATGTTGACGGGAGGAATTGTGGCTGCAATGATTGTGCCCAAAGCGAAAGTGGGCTTGAAGTACCTCTGGTTCTTCTCATCCGTGTTCTTCTTCGCCCTCATGATTGCAGCTTTGCAGGTCGATGTCGCCAACGGCACCGTGAAGAATAGGCCGGCCGACGTTCAGTTGCTCTTTTCTCGCTTGGAATGGCTGACCATCATCTCATGGTCGGGCTATCCGGTCGTGGTGCTCTTGGGACGGGCTCATGCAGGGCTGATCTCCAAAGGAATGGAAGATGCCCTGCTCTGCATTTTGGACTGCATCTCCAAAATCGGCATGGAGGGCTTCGTCGTGGCACCTTGGCTTGAAGAGAGATCTCACCCAAGTGAATTTGCATCTCGAGAGTTTGTTTTGAATTCTTTAGGCTTGGAGAAGCTTTTAAGATATCCATGCTGCCGTTGCTGCATCTCAAGAGGTTGTTTTAAGTACTTTAGGCTCGGAGAGGCGAAGCTGGGAGCTTTCGCCCTGCCACTAAGACTCTCTCCCTTTCATGCTTCGTCAATCTACAGTGCTCTCCAAGGCAACCTGTTCGGCTGAAGGTGCTCAGTGCCACGTCAAGGACAAAGCTTACTAAGCCTGCCGGGCGAGTGGCATGTAGTGAGTTGGCAACACAGCTTTTAAGTCTGCCACCGTGAACCTTGTTCGCCAAAGATTTTCGGGGAACCGGCAGCAAAGATGATTTTCTCAAGCCCCTTCACAAGGAGGTACATGTCATCTCCGGGGCATCATGCTTTCAGCTGCACAGCGAAGCTGTGTTCGAGCACTTCTATACCAGCAAGAACAGACAGATGCGCAACGAAAAGTCGCTTGCATGTCCTTGTCCAGTAGTACAGTCATGAATGTGGCGTGTTTAGCGGCGTTGCTTAAGTGCAGAACCCATTCTGGAGATCGTCAATTCAGCGACGCCTCAGGACGATGAGTGCTCTTGGACATGCTTCCGGCTCAAGTGATTCATGTTTCATCAGTTTTCAGTTGCATCTCAGACCTTGTTGAGCCCTACGGTTGAGGATCATGAAGGGTGCCAAGAATGAGTCTTGGTCATGTGAAGAGATGGAAGAGGTTGAAGACATTGAGGCAATGATCGAAAGGATGAACTTCGAGACTCCAGAAGAAGATTCGGGAAGCACCGAAATGACTTCGAAGAAGCCATCGGAGACAGAACCCGCGGAGCTCCCATCGAAGAAGCCATCCCTTCTTTCAATTCCCCTAGAAACAATCGGGCACAGGCTGTCGCAGCGGCAGGAGACGGTGAACAGCAGCCAGCACAAATGGTGGACCTACAAATTTGCTCACGTTGTGGCTTGGGTGGTCCAGATCCTCTTTACCCTCGCATCCGTGGTGTTGCTGGCACTGTGGATCCGGCATGTGCATCCCGAAGCCTATGTGGTCACCTTCTTCGTGATGGTGATCGCTGCTTTGGCCTACTTGGCAAAGGTCACTGGCATGGGTGATGTTACAATCGGTGGCAGAAAGGTCCCAGTGATCAGATACATCGATTGGATCACCACTACACCGTTGATGCTCTTCGAGTTGTGCATGATTGGCGGGGCCGAAAAGCACACCTTCTTCATGGTCATCGGCTGCGATCTCATGATGTTGACGGGAGGAATTGTGGCTGCAATGATTGTGCCCAAAGCGAAAGTGGGCTTGAAATACCTCTGGTTCTTCTCATCCGTGTTCTTCTTCGCCCTCATGATTGCAGCTTTGCAGGTCGATGTCGCCAACGGCACCGTGAAGAATAGGCCGGCCGACGTTCAGTTGCTCTTTTCCCGCTTGGAATGGCTGACCATCATCTCATGGTCGGGCTATCCGGTCGTGGTGCTCTTGGGACGGGCTCATGCAGGGCTGATCTCCAAAGGAATGGAAGATGCCCTGCTCTGCATTTTGGACTGCATCTCCAAAATCGGCATGGAAGGCTTCGTCGTGGCACCTTGGCTTGAAGAGAGATCTCACCCAAGTGAATTTGCATCTCGAGAGTTTGCTTTGAATTCTTTAGGCTTGGAGAAGCTTTAAGATATCCATGCTGCCGTTGCTGCATCTCAAGAGGTTGTTTTAAGTACTTTAGGCTCGGAGAGGCGAAGCTGGGAGCTTTCGCCCTGCCACTAAGACTCTCTCCCCTTCATGCTTCGTCACTCTACAGTGCTCTCCAAGGCAACCTGTTCGGCTGAAGGTGCTCAGTGCCACGTCAAGGACAAAGCTTACTGAGCCCACTGGGCGAGTGGCAAGGAGTGAGTTGGCAACACAGCTTTGAAGTCTGCCACCGTGAACCTTGTTCGCCAAAGATTTTCGAAGAACTGGCAGCAAAGATGATTTTCTCAAGCCCCTTCACAAGGAGGTACATGTCATCTCCGGGGCATCATGCTTTCAGCTGCACAGCGAAGCTGTGTTCGAGCACTTCTATACCAGCAAGAACAGACAGATGCGCAACGAAAAGTCGCTTGCATGTCCTTGTCCAGTAGTCCAGTCATGAATGTGGCGTGTTTAGCGGCGTTGCTTAAGTGCAGAACCCATTCTGGAGATCGTCAATTCAGGGACGCCTCAGGATGATGAGTGCTCTTGGGCATGCTTCCGGCTCAAGTGATTCATGTTTCATCAGTTTTCAGTTGCATCTCAGACCTTGTTGAGCCCTACGGTTGAGGATCATGAAGGGTGCCAAGAATGAGTCTTGGTCATGTGAAGAGATGGAAGAGGTTGAAGACATTGAGGCAATGATCGAAAGGATGAACTTCGAGACTCCAGAAGAAGATTCGGGAAGCACCGAAATAACTTCGAAGAAGCCATCGGAGACAGAACCCGCGGAGCTCCCGTCGAAGAAGCCATCCCTTCTTTCAATTCCCCTAGAAACAATCGGGCACAGGCTGTCGCAGCGGCAGGAGACGGTGAACAGCAGCCAGCACAAATGGTGGACCTACAAATTTGCTCACGTTGTGGCTTGGGTGGTCCAGATCCTCTTTACCCTCGCATCCGTGGTGTTGCTGGCACTGTGGATCCGGCATGTGCATCCCGAAGCCTATGTGGTCACCTTCTTCGTGATGGTGATCGCTGCTTTGGCCTACTTGGCAAAGGTCACTGGCATGGGTGATGTTACAATCGGTGGCAGAAAGGTCCCAGTGATCAGATACATCGATTGGATCACCACTACACCGTTGATGCTCTTCGAGTTGTGCATGATTGGCGGGGCCGAAAAGCACACCTTCTTCATGGTCATCGGCTGCGATCTCATGATGTTGACGGGAGGAATTGTGGCTGCAATGATTGTGCCCAAAGCGAAAGTGGGCTTGAAGTACCTCTGGTTCTTCTCATCCGTGTTCTTCTTCGCCCTCATGATTGCAGCTTTGCAGGTCGATGTCGCCAACGGCACCGTGAAGAATAGGCCGGCCGACGTTCAGTTGCTCTTTTCCCGCTTGGAATGGCTGACCATCATCTCATGGTCGGGCTATCCGGTCGTGGTGCTCTTGGGACGGGCTCATGCAGGGCTGATCTCCAAAGGAATGGAAGATGCCCTGCTCTGCATTTTGGACTGCATCTCCAAAATCGGCATGGAAGGCTTCGTCGTGGCACCTTGGCTTGAAGAGAGATCTCACCCAAGTGAATTTGCATCTCGAGAGTTTGCTTTGAATTCTTTAGGCTTGGAGAAGCTTTAAGATATCCATGCTGCCGTTGCTGCATCTCAAGAGGTTGTTTTAAGTACTTTAGGCTCGGAGAGGCGAAGCTGGGAGCTTTCGCCCTGCCACTAAGACTCTCTCCCCTTCATGCTTCGTCACTCTACAGTGCTCTCCAAGGCAACCTGTTCGGCTGAAGGTGCTCAGTGCCACGTCAAGGACAAAGCTTACTGAGCCCACTGGGCGAGTGGCAAGGAGTGAGTTGGCAACAATCGCCACTGCGGAACCGTTGTGGAACAGTTTCGCCGAACTGGCATGCATCACCGACGTTTTTCTCAAGCCCTGAAGGGAGGTTCATTCCATCTCCTGATGCTCCGTGAGAACGGTGTGGAATTCCGGTTTCAGCGAGCCAGGGCATTGTTGTTTTCAGCTGCACGGCGAAGCTGTGTTCGAGCACTTATGAACAAGGAAGTGTTGACGGGCGCAAAACGGACTATCTCTCGTGTTTGGCAGGCTTGCAGGACCTTGTCAAATTGCCATGCCATGTTCGTGGCACCATAAAGGTGTATAGGGGCATGCAATGCTTAGCATGTAGTTATGTATCTTTGTCATTTGCAGGTTTTTGTGCTTGTTGCACGGCATTGTGACATGCATCATCCCTGGCATGTGGCAGGCGAAATGATGGGGAAGCCACCGGACGTGTGCATTCTCGGAGGGCTTAGTGCTGGAAACTTGTCGTTGAAAAGTGTGGTCCAAGCACTGGCACCTGAAGAATGCCCTTTGCGAGTGTGTCTGCAAGGAGTTCGGGACGACATCTCTTGCTATCTCCAAAGAACTTTCTGCGCTGGTCATGTTCTTCTGCGCAGGAGTGGCTACGAGACGGCTTGGCCTAGATAGAGCTCGCACTCTTCACTTTTATTCCCAACACTGCTCTTATTGGCTTCTTACTACCATGACTGTCCTTTTGCCATGGAAGACCAAGAGGCTCAAGAATATCCGGTTTCCCCCAACGGTGTGGGAAGGAATCTGCTCCCTGCAGCTGGTTGGATGATGATGTGCTCATGATGAGTTCTATCATGATCGCTTTTTGTCACATCTTCCTGTTACCATCATGCTGCCAGCATGCACCCCAAACACTGGGAGACTGTGAGCCCCAGAAGTCATATGAAGTAGGGTTTATATTGCTTTTATTGGTGAGTGTATATAAGGTTCCTTTTTAATATTGGTGAGTGTATAGACCGGGTGTCCTTTTGGGTGTACAAGAAATATATACCCTGCTTCATATCGCGAGCCAAGACTTCCAAAAGCAACGACAGACAGTTGGGCAGGTCGCAAGTCCAGAAATCCAAAAGCCCAGAAAGTTTGGAGGGCGGCAAGCACGGCCACACCGGCGCCTGGTGGGCGAGAGCGCGATGTTGGTCTAGGCCTAAAACGCGAGCAGGCCGCGAGAATGAAGCACAGTGTTGGTGTGGCACCGTAGAATCCTTTGGTGATGGCACAGTGTTTCATAGTTATGCTTGAACAGCTACTGTTCTTGTCATGACGACCATTGTTGCCTTCATTGTCGTGTAGACTTATCACTAGTTTCTTCGTAACTTGAAGATCATGATTGTAATCAATATTTGTTTGGTCTGTTATATAAAAACTAAGATTGTTATCGTCACCATTCGTGGTGTTGCTCGACTACATATGTATTTCTGCGATGAAAATTGCGATTTCTCTCTTGTTCTTGCTATTCTTGAACATGAGAATAGCAAGCTGGAGCACTCCTTGACGGCGACGCTGCTGTGTCCGGAAGAGCAGTGAGTAACCACCTGCTCATCGAGTCTGCAAAAAAGCTCGAACATTGTGCTTTATGGCTTTCCTGATGTCCATTGAAAATGATGGCTACTGCAATTTCATCCATGCTCGCTTGAGCGCAGAACACATTCCTACTTATTCCGCTTGGTGCAACAGTGCAGATGCAAGATGAAAGACCTGTACACCAGAACTATTGGTGCAAATAAGTGGTGCTCGGCGAAGACATGTCTTGGCTCCAGCATTCATGGAGCAGCATAGGGCGACGACACACCTTCGTTTCAGTGTACCCGGACTTATTGTCCGACTAGACTGGACTTGCGTTTCGGCATCTTGAGCAGCCAAGCACTGACATTCAGGTCAGTGTTCTGCGAGCGCACAGAGCAGGTGTAAAACACGGTGTATGGTTGATGTAGCAGCGACGCTTAATTGGACGACGCGCTGCATGCCAACGCTTCCCGGCTGCAAGAAGCTTTTTCAACAGATGGATGAGGTATAGTCTCCCCATGAATGCATGCTCCTTGCATGAGGACGTTCGGAGGCTTCAATGGCGTTGCAGGATCCACAGCTGCTGAAGGCACGATTTTAGGGTTGCATGCACCTGCAACGTCTGCGGCAGCCTATTAGGCAAGCAATCAACTTCAAGCTGTATCCATTGTGGGTTTCCTTCTGAGTGTAGGAGAATTACACCTTTTCGTTCCTTGTCATGAGAGAAGACGGATAGCGCTGTGGTTGGGGGTAGGATGCTTGCTTCGGGTTTGGTTGATCTGATCGACAAGGGACAGCTATTGCAATGAGGCCGTCTGCGCATTGAAATGTTGCAGCTGATGTGTGTGTAGTGTGTTTGATGATGGCAAAGCTTGGTGTCCGCTTCCACATTTCGACAACTTCTATGGCTTGTGTGAGGCCCGGCCAAGGGAGCAGTGGCGACCAGGGCCCAGCTCCCAGCATCGGTTCCTACCTGAAATCATATGGGGGTTTATGATAATAGGGCACCCCGAATGTAGACCCCCAAATAGTATCAAATAGTAGGCCTTAATAAGGTACCCCTAATAGCGTAAACCCCTATATGCTTTTGCACAGACAAAGGCAAAATCGATGTATCACCCTTCGGTGCGGAAATTGTTCGGCAGTCCTCACTCCCCAGTCCCAAGAAAAAGTAGTGCCACCTCTTGCAAACCCGCCCCAACCTTCGGGTGTGTCGAATGAACATCCAGACACCCACCCACCCAAAAGCACACACACACACACACACAAGCATGCGCATACACACACACACACACAGACAGCTCGTAGTCGTCATGTCCCATGAATAAGCGAACCGTGTCCTGGTCAAAGCCGGCATGTGTCACATCATGGCGCACAACTTTGCACATGAAGGTCTGCCATTGAAGTCTGCGTCTTTGACTCGAAGTGGTGCGTTGGCTACATCGTTACACAGGAGAGCCGGAGTCGCCGGGTTCTGGCAAGCTTCCAGCTGACAGAAGTGACAGAAGCATGTGGAGGAAGCACATCAATTGTAGGTTTATTGAGTTAAGTTGACAAGATTCGGTTGCAAGCATGAGCTTACTCAGCAGCATATCCTCAAAAAAATTGCAGTGGCAGGAAGCTGAGACACCTCTTGAATTTCCTTTAGCTCGTCCGCTCTTATCGGACTCCAAGTCGCTGTCCGATCTTGGCTCAACATTAGTGACAGCCAGATTGTGGACAATTTTGCCTTGAGGCCGGGCACGCCATGTTCCGTGTGATGGGATTTTTGTGCCATCTCAAGAGAGCCAAGAGCCCCTTTTCTTTTTCCGTGCAGGCTCCGTTCCATTCGAGGACATGGAGCTCCGAGCAGGGCGCCCTCCGGGAGCTCAGGTGCCTTCGCACTGGAACTCCCGGTCCAGTTTGCCAGAGAGTGGAAACAGATCCCTCACCCTCGGCTTTCAGCCATACGGTTTTGAGATTCATCGTGGGCTGGTGTGTGCCATCTTGTGCCTAATCCACAGTTCCGAAGGTTCTGCTGCCGCGCAGAGAGCCACCCCCCTTGAAGCTTCCAGGGTGGACGGCAGGCGCTACGCATTCAAGCAATGCCCGGTACCAGTGGTGTCACATTGTCTTTCGATCAGGCTTCGTCAATCGGGTTTCAAAGCATAGTTGCTTTTGAGAAATGCTTGCTCTACCTCAAAAGCATACATATAGAAAGCGCAATGCCAATAACAGCTTCCTTTGCTTGTTAAAGGCCACTCTGCTTTTAGAGGCTTTTTGGGAGACCCCAGCCTCTGATTCGAGCGGGGGGCGGGTGGGGGGAAGGGGGTCACCGCCAGCCAACCATCAAACACCAACTGCTGACTATATTATTGAGAATTGATCGCTAGTCCATCTCAGAGTTAAATCCGTTGGATGAATTCACTAAGGGTTCTCGCAAACCGTGAAGAATTTGAAACCGAGCTCACCAACCGTCGAAATCATCAATGCTCATCATCTTTCTACTTTCGTGAACAGAACCAAAAACGCTCGATAATCAGTGAAGGAACGCAGTGACTGAATTCGCACGCTGTCTTCAGTTTTTACGGATTGATTGTTTGCATTTCCGTATAAATCAGCTAAGGGCGGGGGAGCTCTGCAATTGTTGATGAAGAGGGGAGGGGAGTGATTGGAACAACAATTATTGGGGGGGGGAGGTTAATGTCACTGCTGAATCGAGCAACGACATCTACTGGCCCCAGTTTTTTTTTGTTGGCTGGCGCTGCGCATCTATTTAATCTCGAAGGTGGCAGCAGCAGTTCCAGTGGCAGCTGCCTACGCAGCAAGTTCCACCAAGGTGCGAAAGCTGCGCCATAGTTGGCAGACGACATGATTTCTACGATGGGGTTCCCCAGCAAAGCTTGCCGACAACTTGCACCTGGACGTTTGTCAGATTCCTGCAAGAGGTGTTGCTACGCCAGCTGTGCTTTGCACTCTCCACTGGGCCTGCCGCCGGCGCTGGCGAGGCAGGGGGCGTTTGAGGTCGTAGGGTCTGCAGATGTAGATTCCGAACTTATCCTTGCAGAGCAGCCTGGGTCTTGGAGGAGGTAGCACAGCATCTTACATTGAGGAAAGAGTTTCGTGGCAGCTGTTTGTGCTGTACAGTGAGATAGGGAGGACACGAAACAGGAAGGGAGCAAGGAAGAAAGAGATAGCAAGAGTCGGAGCTTGGTGCCGTCTGCTCGTACTGCATTGTTCCTTATTTATGACTCGTTTCGCTTCGATTCAGGCCGAACAGTGGCCTATAATTTCCCTCCCGGCCTGGAGGCACGCGACGGATCTCTAGACCCAAAGGTGAGTTTCGGGTTTTGGGCTTCAGGGTTTGTCGGTGATTCTGCGGTCCCACAACTGCTGCATGACTGGACGCCGCCCAGGGGGTGGGCAGATAGTTTCTTTATGTTTGTTTTGAACACGTCATATATAGTTTCAAATTGTTTATCCCGGTTCCCCAAACCCTAAACCCCCCGTACCTGAACCTAAACCTTCTGTTGAGCCCTCAAAGGGGTCCTACAGCGCCCCAAGCCACGTGGGTCCTGCCCCTTCGCCGTTCCCGAGACCAGGTCTACCCAAGACAAGGTGTCTGGACGCCTGACCAATGTAGTGTTCCCGGTCTGGGACTTCCCCTGAGACCCTGAAACTCTGGAAACCTCTGGGACTCTGCGTGCCCAGGATACCCGGTGCTGACCCTTTCCCGAATCTCGGGTACCCCTCACAGACATTAAATCAAATCGTTATGAAGGAACCGGACGGAGGAAGTTTTTGGAAGCACGTACTCCTAAGTCTTCATGTGTAATTCAACTGAAACAGGATTCTGGGAGGGTGGGGTGATACCTAACACGCAGTGATGTAAAGGGGCCTTGCGAATCACCGGCCCAGGCCAATTCTAAGCCCTAAACCCTGAACCAAAAACCTAAACCTTGGTTCCTAAACCCTAAACCCGGGAGGCCCGAAAATTCTAAAACTTAAGCCCTAAACCCCATAAACCCGACCCGAACCCCAACCCCCAACCACACCACAGTGGGGGGTGGGGTGGGTGGGTGGGTGGGGGTCGGCGGCCTATATACACGTCTCGTAAGTGATTTTGTAGATGTGTATATGTATGTATGTGTATGTAGGCATAGAGTTCTACATACGTCTGATATATATATATATATGTGTGTACATACATGTACACATATATACATACACATTCGCTCTCTCACATATACATATACATATATATATATGTATATGTCTATGTATACATCCCCGAGCTGCATTGGCGATCCAGCTCGACACCTCCCCTGACATCGCCGACCGGCCGGAGAAGCGGATGGTGAAGGAGCTGAGCCGCTACGAGGACTTGGGCCCTGCCTCGCTGTGTGCTCGTTCTCCGGAATCGACGCGAGTTTGAGGCGAGGAATTTCCTGCAAGGATCCGGATGACCCGGTCCGACCGCAAGCCCCACCAAGAGATCGGAAGGCAAACGGATGAAGAGTGATCTGCGATCTGCTCCATGCTTAGGCTTCTTACTCTAGCACCTGAGTTCGAACGCCCACCGCCAGGCCCTTTGGGCGCCCCCAGGACCTCGGCCGATTTCCGCGCCGGAGGTGCAGCTTCTTTTGTGTGGGCACTAATTAACACAACCTGTGATGAGCAGGTTCTCGTGGTGGGCCTGGGCAGGCGGCTCCGGGCTGATGAGGCAGGAGGTCTTATCTGCATTGATACTGAGTTCAAATCCAAATTCCGCCTATTTCAAACGCCAGGATGACGGTCCTCGGGCTCGGCTTGGGGCAGGTGCTGTGGAGGCACGATTCGTAGCTAAAATTCAGGGTGGTCGAGAACGAGTTCCGTCACGCTACAGGAAGAGCCACGAAAAACGCCAACGGATTCCAACTCGCTCGCTCCCGTGCTGAGATTCGTGATGTTGTGGCAGGCCCTGCAACGGCGGTACCAGATCCGGACTTTCTTCGATGCCGACGTGCAGGGGTGCGCCAGCGCAATTCTTGCATCATTCTCGTCCAGATGGACCAAAGCATACCAGAGCTGAACCCAGATGAGGTTGTTGTGGGCCAACAAAGTTCGGCAGAGTCTAGGTCTAATTAGCCAGCGCGCCTTTGGGAGAATCCGTCCTGCCACTCCAAACCTGGACCTACAGTTACAACTCGAAAGTACTCAACAAAATATGCAGCATCTGAGAACAGATGAGCTTAAATATTCATCCTGTCTGGGTTCGAGAAACCCGGTCTAGATCTCGGAGCATGCCGGCGTCTCAGAGGTATGTGGCCACCTGCCGTGCCAGCCTTGACAAGTCGGGCCGCGCGGGGGTGCAGAAGATTCACTTGATGCAGCCCCTCGTGGAGCACGACACCGATGTGCGAACCTCAGAGTAGGCCCCAGGCAGGCTGATCTGATCAGCAAGCAATTGTCGTCAGTTCTATAAATTTTATATCAGGGAGGCTTGAGTGCCCGGCCCATTCGGAGCTGTAGTGCTCAAGCCAGAGCAATTGCCTGCTCCCACGAGCACTGATTGCACCGCTCACCTTACGCCGTTTATCGTCTCCCCTTAGCCACCAGACTCTGCCCCAAGCGACGCTGCACTGCAACGGCCCTTATTCGGCAAGTCTCACCGGGCATGCGGCTCTGCTGTCGGCGTGGCCCTGGTGACAGGCCACTTTCTCCAATCGAGGGTCGAGAGGGGACATTTATGTGCTCACCTGAATGGTTACAGTGTTGTTGAATCTGCTTTTTTGTAAGTTGAGATGCGCCTTTTTTCGAGTCATCGCCGTACTTCCACCCTACGTTAGAACCCATTGGAACCCCAAATCGGGTTCTTCTGTAATGGGTTCTAAGACTGGGGCCATGTACAGTAGAACCCCCCTTTTGAGCTCCTGGAAGTGCGGCTCTCGAGCTTGGATCCAGGCGGCTGCGGGCCTTCGCAGAGTCTCGGCACCAGCGGCTTCGCGCATCGCTGCAGGACGAGGCTGGCAGACTGCGCTGAAGGTGTAGCAGCCCTCAGCAACAATGACGAAGGTACATGTGGATCTTGAGGATGATCGACGTTTAGGGATCGGGGAGAACAAACCCTTGAAGGGCAAGATTGGACTGTGGGCCCCCTGAGATCCCTTCTACCTCCAGTTGTACCTCCAGCTCAGGCCCGCGTTCTGTTCAAGGAGGCCGTTGCCGGATGCGACGAGCCCGGCACGGCCAAGGATGTGCATCCGCAGTGCCTGAAGGACACCTCTGCACAACACTGGGTTCTTATTAGGGAATCAGGGAATGAGGTACTCAATAGAATCCCTTGAAGGGCATATAAAGGGCCCTAACTCCCTCATTCCCTAGGGGAACACGTGCTAGAATGATGAATGATGTGAGGGGCACTGATCTGCCATCTTCGGGTGCTTTGTGAGCTGTTTAGATAGTTGATGCATGTTTACGCTTTTGCTTTCTCGTGTAAGGACTTCGATCGATGCACATACCAGGTCCGGTTCCTCGGTTCTTGCGTTTACCGGTGCAGAGCTTGCCACGCGCAGACGGAAGCGGTGATCTTTGGAACTTCCGATGCCCTGCCCATCTGCATACCGACCTTTCATGCGGCAAACCACTGTGACACCCAAGCCGAAGATATCCGAACACAGTCATAGTGAGCCCCTGAGATCGGCAGCTGCAGCTACCAGCCTGGGCAAGCTGCAGACTCTGGGGATATCGAAAACGCTCGGGGCACAGAGATGCAAAAGTGGCATCATCAGGTCCTTGAGCGTTGGGCCAGCTTTTGTCCTGGCACCCTAAACCTTCCGTAAAACCCTGAACCCTAGGCTCGGCAAAGCTTTGCTGAGCGGCTGTGCCGGGGCCCTTGCTGCAAGTACCGTACATGAAGTGTCGCCCTCGATCCTGAAACCCTGAACCTTCAAGCCGTAGCAGCTAAAGCCCAAATTCCCATGAAGCCGCGAACCCCAAGCCGAAATCTGGACCTCAATCCCATGAAGCCCTCCTGAACCCTGGGGAGAAGCCCTACAAGCCCTAAAACCAACAACCTAGCCTCCCTTAACCCTATATTCCCCGAACCTCATTGAGGTGAGGAGTGCTCCTGCAGCGCTGCGGCAGTCCGCGCTTTGGCCTTCATAAAAGAAGCGAAGATGTGAAGAAGGCAACAAACTGTAATATGCTCGTCGTGTAAAGCTGGAACCAATAGAACTCACACACAAAATGATGAAGAGAATACAAGGCAATATCGGATAAAAATAGACTAATCTAGACACGTAGCCATATAACGTTATAACACAAGAATGCTATAGCAATATAACAATACACCGATACAATTTCATAGGAATCTAACGACCTACTAGTCCAGAAATATGTGAATACAACAAAACATCAAAAAGGTATATAAGAATATAGGACGACGATAACGACAGCAGCAGCAGCAGCAGCAGCAGCAGCAGCAGCAGCAGCAGCAGCAGCAGCAGCAGCAGCAGCAGCAGCAGCAGCAGCTGCAGCTGCAGCTGCAGCAGCAGCAGCTGCAGGGAATGTGTTGCCGTGTGTTTTAAGGTGCTATTTCGGCGCTATGCTCGCAGATCTCCATGGCGCACTTGGCAACTGTGACCGGGTTGCACCCAGCAGATTCGCAACACCACATTGCTACATGAGCATGAAATTACTATGGTGAGTGTATGTATTGGATGTCATTGGCATACTAGCCAGCACTAAACGTCCTACTTCGAAGGCATGCGTTTTGAAGCCACGGAGGAGATTTTTGTCTACACATATCATGACAACTTGATTCAAACCTGTCACAAAAGCCACACGCCTAACCCCTAAACCACAAGGAGCCCAACAATTGACCTCAGATCTTCAAAGGCCTCCCAGCACTGCTCATCAATGATTCCAAGAAGCGAGGTCAGCTTCACGGGGCCTCATGCCTACGCGCTGCCTGGCTCATTGCCCGCATCAAGGTCTACATTCAATGCACAAACGCACATGTGGGGGTTTCCGAAAATAGGGGTACCCTTTTTGGGGGGTCCCTTGAACGGATTCCATTCTATTTTGGTATAACAGGGGTACCCCTAGTTTGGGAAATGCCCATGTAGGGTCCCAGATCGGCAACAGCGCCAACAACCCTTTCTCGGAATCCTGATGAGTCAGTGCCACCGGCGGAATTTTGCTGCCATCTTTCCGAAACGAAGTACTCGACAGGATCACAGTGGTTTCCTGGAGTGGTTTTAAAGTTTTTCGGGTTTGCGAGAATTTCGTGGGGTGAGGGAGGCCCGCTTGTCGAGCGGGGACAGGGCCGGGAGTTGCATTAGTCACTAATCAGGGCACAACATTCAGCCAGGAGCTTACCAACATCCAGAACGCCCGAGTTTTCTGCTCTCCGCCTTGAAAACCAAAAAAATCGAGTGTTCCAGGTGGCTTCACCAAGGCGCGGATCCACCTGCGGCGAAAGTCCGAGGCGCATGGGGTCTGGATCAGCACGATAAGACGTGAATCCGATGTCAGTCATCCAGTTTTGAGGTCTCTTCAGCACATTTCAGCACTTGCATGCACTTGCTTTTGGCTACTCAACTCGGAGAACCAAAGGCGTCCCCAGAGCTGCTCCTCAGCATCGAGCGTGCGGCCAGTGGTTTCGACTCCTTCTCGCTTCCGGAAGATGGCCAGGTACGACCATTTGTCATCCCAGGCTTGCCCTAACATTCGCCTATATCCTTGGATTTTGGGCTTATAGTCCATGCTCATCGATGCTTGGCAACTGACAAGATAGGAAGAAATTCCCAGTGTACGGGGCCTCCAGTCAGGTGCACGCCTGCCACAAGACATCTTTCATACGCGAGTCTGCAGATGTCCAGTTTCGGTGCTCGTCTGAAGGCCCGGTGCCACTGTCAGACTTGACAGCTCTGATTCTTTGTCATTGTGCTCTTCACATGAATGTGGTTGTAGCTCACCAGTTCTGTATGTAGTGTCTGTGTGGGTACCACCTTGACTTGAGCCAGAGCACATCAGCCCCGGATGTCGCAAGTTTGCAAGGCCGGAAGTGAACTTCATCTCTCTGCTTGCAGGCATTCTCGTCGACGTGCTTGATGTGCGGGAGGCCGTTCCCGATCATGACGGCAGCTAGCGGGGTGTGGCGTTTTCATGGCCCGGGGCTGCGCAGGCTATCACACTCTGCTTCCCAGATGAGCGGGTGGTCGTGCACGATGGGCTGCCGTAGCTTGGCGCGAGACTGCTTCGAAGCCGTATGAATCATAAATATAGCTTGGTGCTCGGGACGTGAGGGCCCTATGAGACAAGGGAGCTACAACATCTATGAACAAAGATCGTCATAATTTCGGCCGCATTTCTACGAACATAATCGAACGAATATGTACAGCAATAACAACAGTAGCAGCAAACGTCAACACTAAACAAAGTAATGGAAGTAATCATAATGTTGGCAAGAAGCATTGTGTATGTATATGCTACATAACTAAATAAATAAAACATATATATATATGTACATACACACGTGTACATATGCAAACCCAACTGCAATATACATATGTGCATAAGCACATATGTACATATGTGCAAGTATATATATATACATATTGAAATATGTATATATATATATATGAGTAAATGCATGTGCAAATGCATGTGCACATCTGATCTTGTTGTGTGTACTTATCTGCGCATATCGGCTTGGTCAGCTTCCGAAGCCCCCGGGGCAGGTTGCACTTCAGCTCACCTCCAGCCGGGGAGAGCTTCCTTCGGATGCTGAGCCACTTGCGCCTGACAAACGCTGAGACTGCCTGGCGAAGCTGTGATGTAAACGTTTCTCATCTGAACTGAGGCTCCTGGACCCTCGTGCGCTGGGTCGGTGCCTTCCTCCGCCTGCTCCAGCCATTCAAGCCAAAGTCGAAATTGGCGTGAGCGGGAAAAAGAGAATAGCATGTACTGGTTGGTTGCAGTTAAGATGCAGCTTCGGAGCCACCTTAAGTCGGCGACACTGATGCAGACCGTGCGTAGCGCAGTGGCTGAAACGGATTCTTCTTTACGAGTCGTGAGATGGTGCCTCTGCGCGTTGCCTCAGGTGGCACATGCCCTGGAAAAGATGATGGCCAAGCCGCGTTTGGATAAGGCTCGGTTCTTGGACAGGGTGCAGAAGTTCACCACAGGCACACGGGTAGGAGAATGAAAGAGGCCTCCCAGTGCCCCGTGCCATCTGGCAACACAAACATTGACTACTCTTCTGTGTGACCTTTGACAAGTGCATAGGCAGCTTGCTAGGCAGTCATTCGCCGTCTCTGGGTTGCAGCTTGCAGCTTACAAGTGCCCTCCCTTTTCAGCAAGAAAGGTGTTGGGATTTCTTGAGTGAAGTTCATGGGAGGGAAGCCGTGCGAAACCCAATGCAGGAGCAAGCGACTGAGCACATGCCAGCACCAAGCCACATCGATTTCATGCGTCAGTTTGCGTCAGGGTCTGCAAAAACTGGCCATGGCCTGCGTGCATCCACATCCCAGCTTGCAAGCGAGCTGGCCCTGGAGATATCGGTCCCAGCCTGGTTTTTGCCGCACAGCCCAAGCAAGGCAAGCTCCCATCTTCGGTTCCTTCATTGGTGACTCGAAGTTTCTGCCGGCAGCTAGCTTGGCATTGGGGGACCTTAGCTGCCTTCGACCCCTGGTAGCTGTGGCTGCGACCACCTCAGCTTGGGCAGCCGCGCGCAGGGCACGAGCCCGCAGTCAAAGGAGTCTATGCTGGGCAACTCTGGCAACAGACAAACAAGGCACAACTTTCCTGGTGGGCCCTGAGGCCGCGACACGGCTTCCTAGTAACGTAAGCCTGGGGAGGCTGCTGACCTGGGCTCGCAAGCAGGCGTTCATGAAAGTTCATCCAGTGCTGTCGGCCAGCAACGCAAAGCTCTCGGTTTCGGTCGCGGTGGAGGCCGGCACTCCACTCCTCGGAGTCTTGGAAGAGGGCTTCCTCACTTACGAAGACTCGGAGGATTCCTGGCAGCAGCTCTACGATGCTGCGAAGAAGCAGCATCCGGAGTGGTGGGCGCTGCACCTGGCCATCCCGCTCTTGCGGCATGCCTCCGGCGATGCGTCGGATGAGGCCTCCTCGCCAGTTTGGCAGGCCTACCAGCAGAGCGCCTTGGACGCAAATTCAAAGAGGGGCTGCAGATGACCTTGCAACTACACCTGCGATGAAGAATGATTTGTTTTTTCAGTATGTGCTGCTGCGAGATGCCGTCCGAGATCCCAACTCCGCTGCTTGTCATTGTCCCTTTGTACTTTGTAATATTTGCACGAACTTGATCGAACTTGACTGAAGATCTGCTACAGATTGACCCAGAAAGTTTTAGCCCAAGCGGTCATGCGGAGACATGCGGAGGTGTGCCGGAGCTGCCCGCGTCAGCGCTTCTCTGGAACGTGGAGCAGGCCAGCGAGCTGTGGCTTGGAGCAATAATAAGAGACAAATACAGACTCTGTCAGGGGGATGCTGGGATCAGATGGGGGTTTTGGCTTGCCACATGCTTGCCTTTGCCGAGTCAATGCCCCTGAGGCAAGATGTGGAAGTCAAGGCCGCGCTGAAGAGTCGACTCGAGGCTCCTGCAATCGGTCCACCAGAGCGTCCTCACAGATTCTGGACATCTTCTCACCGACACCGAACTACCCCCGCTCGCTTGGACCCAACAACACATACGAAAACCCGCAATCCCCTGCCCTTTGCTCAGGCACTGCAGAGCTTTCATCGAGATCATGTCCTGCCAGCTGCTTGACCCCGACATGAGGCGGTTATCCTTGGACGACCACGGAGGAGATGCTAGCTTAGGCTTCTTTTTGCAGGCCTGTTCCAGAAAAGTCTACCCTGCCCAACCCCGCCACCGGACTCTAACGACAAAGACACCGTGTTCTTTTGCAGTTTTTCAAGCGGACGGCCAGACATAAACATTGGTACCACGTGCTTGTAAGAAATGGTAGGCTTAGCTCTCCAAGGGACATAGGTCGCCGAATGCCATGGCTCATGTGCCGCATGTCCTTTGTTGAGTTTCGTCTGCCGCGAGTTCCCTGACTGCATCACCCCATGCTATGGATGTCTTCAAGCAAGAAAGAAGAACCCCATCAAACCCTAAGCCCTGCATTTCTTCAGTTTTCATCCACTCTTTGGTTCCGAGGCCCTGCGCGATTCGGCGCCCTCGACGTTGGAATTGGGATGTGCGGTTGCTGTGGCGGCTTCCCGTGGTGTGGAGGTGGCTGAGCTGAGTGCTTGATTTTATTTGAGATTGGTTTTTGGGGGGGGGGGGGGTGTGCAGCACTTGCGGGCCATGAGGGTAGTAGCGCCACAAGACATCCAATCCCCCTGCAGAGGCCTCCGGACTTGTTTGCTTTTTAGGAGTTTTAGGGGCAGTACAGCATGTCCTTCTTCTGGTGATCGGTCGTATAGGGACAAATAACACGATAGAGAGAGAGAGGGAGAGAGAGAGAGAGAGAGCGGGAAATCCGACGTCGACCCAACCTTACATCAGTGCACGTTTTTGCCTGGCAAGCACCACGGGAGGAGCCTAGAAGTTCTGGCCTTTGTCGGTGCCTGTTGGATGATGTTTGATTAGGGGGGTGGTGCCCTTTTGGTTGAGGGAAACAAGTGCAACTCCCGTGTTTTTCGTCTCACGCCGACGTGACCCGTGACTTGACGGGCGCGCCCAGCATGCGGAGGTTCAGGGACTTCTGCCATGTCCTGCCCCAAGCCCCAAAGAAAGAAAGAAAGAGATAAGTATAGACATGATACGTGCATTAAAAATATTTTGGTCCAAGGTGCAACCAGGGCTGAAGGCGCTCGTCCCAGTGCTCGATCTGATCGGACCGGCGGAGGTCACTTGTCCCAAGAAAATGGGGGGGTTTACGAGAATAGGGGGCCCCTAAACTGGTAGGATTCCCTTATACGAAGGACCCCCAATAAGGTACCCCGAATTTCGGAAACCCCTAAATGGGTCTTTCGAGTCGAGTTTAGGGTGTGTACCAGTGGACGCGTGTAGGGAGTGCGCCTTTCTGTAGATCCAGGGGCGCCAAGTATTCCCTTCCCCACCCAAGCCAACCCACTGTTCTCTGTTCGAGTTTTGGGTTCTAGCCCCCCCCCCACCCCCCAACTTCGGTTTTCAAAAGGCTTAAACAAAGCGGACGGAGTAGCAGAGGCCTTTTGCCGGCCCCTTCTCTGTAGTCTTTGAGGGAGGCCATGTTTACCTTATCCCGGGAGAACAGACGTGGAAGGCCCCTGCAAACCCTTTGTTTGGATCATAGATGCAGCTGGATGCACTTCAGGCATACACAGGTGCCCAGCATCGCTAGGGGGATGGGGTGGGGTTAGGGGTTGTCCTGGTAACCCTTTCAGGCCCGCACATTCGCCAACGGGCCCAGAGTGCCACAGGAAGTAAAGTAGAAAGGTCTTTGAAAAATCCCATGCCCTTGCATGCGCGAACCTGAATATGATCACACAATGGGTCTGAGACTCGAGGGCGCTGTCACGCTCTGGCATCATGCACAGCTGCTTCCCTGCCTCATCAGGCAGCAGCCGCTGTGGGTGAGGACCGGGTACTCAGTTCGGCCCCAGATCGAAGCTCTTCTGCCTTGATTGCAAAGCCGGCGACTTTTTTGAAGGAGACTCCAGAGCCAAACTGCCATTTGACCGTGGAGCCAGCTGGAGGCATGCATGTGGACATTCACCGTGCAGCCTCAACAGCAGAAACCCTACAAAGCCACAGCTTCAAGTTGCCAACTCCCTGCTTTTCTGCTTGTAGGCTTGATGCATGCTTGCTCTCGCAAATGCACAGGCGTGGCTCAGGCACTTACACGCACAGTTGTAGTAGTTGTTGTTGACTTCTACTCTGCCTGCTTGCCCGCCGCCATGACGAAGATGATGATGATGATGGGCAGTTCCGATGTTGGAGCAATGTTAGGCAACATGCCCTCACCCAAAAAGCCGGAGGAGGAACTCCAAGACGACCAGGCCGACCCTATGTGGGCAACACTGGTGCACTCTGGCTCCATTAAGTCCATCTTAGAAGACTGGACTCGAAATGGCTCCAAGAGCCCCCGCGCCTCCTTCTACCTCTGGGCTGGCCGTGACCAAGCCAGACCGCCCGTCAAGGCCCGGCTTCCTTTTTGCTTGTACATGCTTGTACCAACACTGCGGCCCTCTCTCTCGCTCTCTTTCTGCCTTCTTGCTTGCTTCATATATCACACACAGAGAAGCAGAATTTTTCTGTATATGCATATATACGATCTACGCATGTCACAAATCCCTACATTGCAGCTCTTGATGTTGCACAGGTCTTCACGGCCCCAGAGCGCTCGATGCATCTACAACATGAGAAGCGTCTTGCGAAATTCTTGCGGGACAGCTGCCGGGGGTCATAACTTGAATAGAGGCTTCAAGAGGTTCTGTGCAGCCCGAAAATTTCCATAAAGCAGGAGACCGGGCTCTCCCCCAAGAGTCTGGAGCAGATCGTGGCGTCACGCCGGCAGCGGGACTTTGAGGAGGAGGAGGAGGAGGATCTACTCGACAGCGTGCAGGACAGGCAGTCAGGCTGACATCAACACTTTTTTTTCCCGGCGACACGGCAGACCCAGCAGTCCCAAAAAGAACTGTGCCGCTGTGAACCTGTTAGTGAGCGTTCTGAGCGATTCCGGTGGACTGTTGCAATGTGGTGCTCGTATTTGCGCAACGTGGAGGACCCAGTGTCACCGCGACCTCGTTCGACTTCACTCGGCCAGTGGCCCAAGATGCCAATCATTCCATGGCTTCGGTCGGTCACGCACTGAGAACATCGCCGTCGAGGCTGCCAGCTTGTCTGCACAGGATCCGAATTCTCAAATGCTGCTCTTGAGCCTGGTCTCCCATGCTAGACGGCTCAAGAAGTCCTAGGACAAACATGGAAAGACGAACTTTTTGAAGATGCTTTCAGTGATGCAATTTGAGGCAGTCGGCCTTGTGGCTTCCAGTGTAGTGGCCGTTGGTGGCTGATAATGAGTTCGGAAAGTTGACAAGCATAAGAACCATAAACCCACCAGAGTTCCAACCAAGAAACACTGGTTATTCCATTTGTGCGTGTGTTTTATCGGTCCTCATGACGGTTTAGGTTATTATAGGTAGTTCAATGGTGTTTATGCTTTTCAATGTAATCAATAGACTTTTTACAACTCATATATCCATTTTCAATGAAACACAAATGTGTGAGGGTCTTTTCTGGATTCGCGGAAGCTCCCGAAACGTCGCCTGAAACCTGGCAGCAGCTCGTGCAGCTATTACGTGCCGCATTGCGTCGCCATGACATTCTGTGACGGGTTGCATACGTAAGTTTGTGAGGTCCATAATGCGTTCACTTGTACCGGACCGTTGTTGCCGGAGCGTGCATTTTGTGCCGGAATTGCTGAATATTCTGAAAGGGCCTATTTTGCAGTCACAGTTGCTGTAAATTATATAGGTAGAAGGGTGTTGGTCGGCCGACGTCGCACGAGTTCACGGACTGTGTGATGAAGTGTTCCGTGGACGAGACTATGACTAGGATGGCAAAGCCCAGTTGTGGCTCTTCTCCTTTGGGTCTGGCCCGATGTCTCATCCGTTTTCATGCTTCCGCACCATGACTGTGCCGTTGTTGCCGTTTGTCGTTTCGGCACAGCAAGCTCTGCCCTGAACCCTATAGTATACTATAGACCCTATAAACCCTGAACCCTAAACCCTTAGTGAGCCGTGAAGCACGTAGTGGTATGGGCGTGACATACACTGGAAGCTCCAACGGCATGAAGCCTCAGGGCACGCGAAGAACAGGACTAAGTGACGAACTCTTTGTCGGAATCAGTGAGTGCATGCACCCCTCTCAGCCTCACAACCTCGCTGCCGGCGCCTTGCAGAGTTTTCAGGTTATCTACAGTACTCTTCCAGTACAGAAGGACTTTTTTGCATCATGGTATCTGCACGAAGAGCTGCCAGCGGCCTTGGAGCATGCTGCCAGGGGTCGAGACCGAGCTTCCGAGACCCCGATTTCAATTTGGCAGCCATGCCGGATACATATTGTTGATTTTTTGTTGGGTGCTTCAGAGTACAAGCCTGGTGAGCGATGGACCTGCTACATGGTTTCCCTCGCATTGATGTTTGCTGGCAGACCGGTTACCTGTTTTTGTTTTGGGGGGGGGGGGACCTTTGTACTGACCAGGCTCGAATGGCAAGAATGCTGTGTTTAAATCGTCAAATGGTGGCCAGTGCCTTCGGGCGGTATCAAGCCAGAGCCACTCGTCACTTTGTGTGTGACTCTTTAGTTATCAAGCCGTCTGTGTACTAGTGGTAGTTGAGGGCCTTAGTCAATCCTTCACCCTAAACCTTACTTGCTGATTCCCCTTGGCGATCTGACCAAGAAATGATAAGGGAAGCGATGAGGGAGTCAGAACTGATGAAAGCTGCTGCTTAGCATGTTCTCTCCAAAATGAGTGACATCGATTCAAGTCGGTGCGGTTTTGTTTTGTATGCTCCCACAGGTTCGTCAACACACATGCGGTACGCCATTCAGTTGCCTCCCTTTGGATATCGCATTCCATGTAAACAGCCTGAGGGAGCAGACTTTTGCGCAGGCATGCTTAGGACAGGGGCTGAAGGCTGTCAACAAGAGCCGTGCAGTACAGCACCTGCGACATACTTGCCACAATGCTTTGGACAGGATCTGTGTGTAAGTACTTCTATCTATAGAGGCCTGCGGAAGCATGGGCAAGTTGCCCGCATTGAGTATGATTCTTCGGCAAGCGACCAAAGACGTACTGTTAAGCAACTTGGTTCAGTACTCTGATGAGAGTTGACGAATTCGCTCACTACCGATTGGCATGTTTTCATCTCTCGGTACTGCAGGTTGGGCATGTGCAAACATCTAGCGGACATGCGATAAGATGTTCTTGGGCCCAGCAGGTTTTCTGCATGGCTCTTGTGCAGTTCTCGACGATGCACTTCGCATCCCCCTGCGCCCACCGCGACACCGTAGAGCCACCGTAGTCTACCCCTCATGAGATGGGATGAAGGGTGCTGCATATGAAGTGTATTTATTTGGCATGAGCTTTTTTGCATTGCAAGTTAGAAGCAGCATGAAGCAGCACAAGTGGAAACAGTTTCAGTGGCTCCTTTGGCAGTGGCCCCTCGCTGTTTATCTGAGTAAGCTCTATATCCAGATTTAGGCCCGCAGGAGATAAACTGCCACATTTAGACCCAAGCCGTCGTACAGTACACTGCTCAAGCATGTACAGGGGGCTCTTGCTGTGCATTGACATCCTCCTTCAGAGTGCAAAGAAAAAAGTCCGACAGAGAGAGAGAGAGAGAGAGAGCGACAGAGAGAGACAGAGAGGGGGGTTAGGTGCGCAGAAAGAAAGAAGGAAAGAAAGAGAGAGAGAGAGAGAGGGAGAGAGAGATCCAGACGGATTTGGTATTGCTCGATACTGCTCGCCTTCGGGCGGCCCCTCCTCTTCAGGGGGTGGGGGGAGGGTTCAGACAGGAAGGAAGGACGGACGGACGAGAGTTGTCCCTAAGCCCATGAAAGAAAGAAAAAGACAGATCGTAGAAAAAGAGGACGGACGCCGCTGGCGCTACGACAAATGTGTTTGCAGTTCTGTTCCTGATCTTGGACCTAAACATCCGTCTGCGGGCTTTAGAGCAAGCGCATTGCGATATTAATGAGAATCAGCAGGCTTAGCGGCATCAACAGTCGAACCCGGCAACAGGAAAACACAGCCCTTGGCTCAATTTCTTGCAGGCCCGGGTGGCCGCGCCATTGCTGTCGTCACAGCCGCAAGAGACTTGCGTGCTGGCAGCCTCCTAAGCTTCAAGGTTCAGAACTGCCAAGAGATGAAGGGATCGCGTGAAGTTGTGATCTGACTTCCCAGAAAGTCGTAGAGTCGTAGAGAAGTCGATCTCTGGAGAGGTGACTTCCTGAGTCGTGACGTGGATGCTTGCGCGGACTCGCTGCTCCTGGACTGGGGCCTGGCTTCGAGTCGAAGGCACAGTTAACCTGAGACAGAGAGAATGCTTTAAGTACTATATGTTGTATTTGGATGCTTGTTTTGCTATTTTGCGGGGCTCTTCATGGTTCTTCTACAGTAATCATCTTTACATCACATCAGAATCATATCCTCATCCTCCTCCTCGCCGCATCATTCTTATTGTCTCTATGGTTGCTGCTACCGTTGCCGTTGCTCTCTTACTATGCCCCACCCTCGGTGACAGGTTGTGAGATGTTAATCCCAACTGTTTTCCTCGCCCGGTCTGCTCCTCGCCCATCACCCGTATCCCACCCCAGAGTATCCCGAGCATGTCCCTGGAGTGCCCAACCCCAGCCTGGAGTCCTTTGAATCTCGGTGGGCATTCCAAAGATTTACAGTGTTTGCAGCCTCTGCGCAGAAATGCTGCAATTTACACTATTCGCAGCCGAACCAACAACCAAGGCCACATCTTTGAAAGGAAACATGGCCGAGCCACACCTTTGCAAACAAAAATCCTCCGCCAAGACACGCCCGCATGCTGGCAGGAGAGACGACGTCACAATCCACGCCGCCCAGCTTGGGCAAGTTCAGCGGCAATGCCAAGTTCCCCTAAACCCTATAATAAGCCCCAAACCCTTTACAAACATCATTCGCAGCCTTAAGGTAGGCATCAAGAAGGACGTGGCCCAGTCTTGGCAAGTCTCTGCGCTGCGAACCCCCGCTGAACTTAGTGCTTTGGTTGGCGGGTCGTTGTTTCCGCGTGGTTTTGGAGTATTCAGTTCCTGGCTTCCTAGAACTTTATAAATTTGGGTTTGGGCGTGTGAGTGAGCCTCGAAAAGTCTAATCCCAGAATGCCGGCCCGGGGGATCTGTCTGGCTTCAATGCCCCATTCGGGTACAAAAACTGAGAGCTGCGGACATTAGTCCCCAGTGGTGTGCGCGCGAGGATGTGCACAGTTTGGGGAGGTGGGAGGTTAAGAAGGGCTCTGCACCCCTGTTTGTAAATACGTCGCTTCGAGTACTCTTGCACTGCGAGTGTTCTAAGCAGCTGAAGTCGTTCCCAGGAGAGCTCTTGGAACTTCGACCTGGAGAGGATGGCGGCTGGGTGGCTTCGGCAAAGGTGAGGAGGACTGGGGTCGCACATACTATTTACCATGCTTGGGTTTCCCAAGGACTTGACTAAGTTTAACTAATAAGGCCACTGTAGTATGTACTATAGCTCACCGCTTCGAAGGGCGCTCTAGGTACCATGGTTATTTCCATGACTAGTTACATGATATGTAGAAAACGTGGCTACATTGCAATAACCCCTCCTGAAGCTTCAAGCCGCCAAAGTGTGAAACCCCGGAAGCGCGTGACCATGGTACCAGGAGCTCTTCGCTTCGCGACGCCCTGGACCAAAACCTCTGGGTGGCAGCACGCACCATGGACCATTACAAAAAGCGCCCAAACGGTGCCAGAAACATCCCAATACCAAGTGTAGTTGAACACCAAATCAAAGATCAGGAATTCATTTTTGAGGAATTCTGATGATGGTTCACGGTGCTTGACAATCGGTATTTTGACAAGTGAACAGCAGTGGGGAAGAAGATGACAGGGCAGTGTTGTCATTGAAGCATGCATTTACGCCCACGATGCCCTCGTCTGAGTACCAAGAATGATAGAACCCGCGTTACACATACGTACGTCTGCTGATGCTTGAGAGGTATACTTGGCATACACCCTGTGTACTACAAGCCTCCCCCTGAGACCCTTGTATTTAAGGGTTTTCGACAAGTATCCCTAAACCCGAAACCCTAAACCCTAAACCCTGAAGCCCAAGTTCCGGTCATTCTCCAAGGCATCCTTGGCGGCGGATCCAAGACCGAAGCGCTGGGTGCGGTGGCGCCGGCCTTGAGTTGAAAATCTGAGAATCAGGGTTGTGGGTTTTGGGTTTTGGGGATAAGAAATATGTCTGACAGCGATTGGCTTAAGATCTGGGCTTATAAACAGCCAGCACATTCATGGTCATCGTAGCCAGCCATACATGAATACATATATATGTATATGTATATGTGTGTGTGTGTATGTATATGTATCTACAGAAATTTTATAGATGTGCCAGGAGTGGGATCTGCGATCACGGGAAGAGATTCTGCGCGCTGGTTTGGATGGCAGCTTGCAGAAAGCAGCAAAGTGTCTCATGTTTCACGGTATAAAATGCACTACAATATATATATATATATATGTATGTATGTATTTGTCAATATTTACTTATCTGTGTTTGTATTTAGAGAGAGAGAGAGAGAGAGAGCGCGGGCATAGCACTTGCGGGCGACCTGTCAAGCACATCAAGATCATTGGTGATTTTTCACCTCGAAAGATGCATCTTAAGGTGTGTCAGCAACCCACCGGCGGCGTGCCTTCTGGGTGCTGAAAAAGGCGGTTCAGGCCACGTCCGAAAGTGAAGGTTTGCAATGTCTTCTCCAGATGGCTCGTTGCAACATTACTCCCACCGCCGCAGGGCGCTCTGGACAACTTCGAAACCAGTCCCGAAGATGATGAGGACTCTGCTTCGCAAATCCCGACAGGTAAGTGTTTGAGCCCTGCACTACTCGTTGAATGCTACGAAGTGCTGTCTCCCCACAACTTTATGCGGTGTTTCGAGGAAGCCATCCATCTGGCAGGTGACGAGCGCCAGCGTGTGGCCGCAGCATACAGGCAAGTTGTTAATTTAATATTAGTGTCGAAGCACAATAATTGTAAACGCTTGCGCGCGCCGCCTCGGCAGCCGGGCCGGCCCCAGGACAGGAAAGGAGGAAAGAGGGTTTCTGCAAGAAACGGGGAGGAAGGGTCCAGGTCCGGGGTCGAAGGGAGGGCAAAGCGGGTCGAGGGTGTTGGAGGGTGGGGGGTGGGGGGGGGGGGGGGGGGGTGGGTGGGAGGGTTTTTGTTCTTTTTTGGGGCGGTTGTGGTGTGTGGTACGGTATCGCGGTTTGCAGCTCCTCCAAGCGATGGGGGGGGTCCCACAGGGGGGGTCGTCACAATTTCGCATGGGGAAGGGTAGGGTTGGGGGAACTGCTTGTTTTAGACGCTTCTCGGCAGGAAGCGAACTCTTATTGAAATCATATAAGAACTTCATGCACAGGCTTTGAGATGCTTGTCGTTTACTGTCGTATTTGAGAGTACTGTGTGTCTGGGTAACGGGAGTTGCGCAAGACGCGTGTCGTTGCTGTGCTTATGTGCCGCTGTGCTGCAAACAGGGGAGATTAGCAGCTCAGCAGTGATTTTTTGGGCATTAGAAGCAGTCACCACGCAAGACTTGGACGGTTTCAACCTGCAGTGGCTGCAGGCTCGGCAAAAAGCGGATATTGCAGGATGTCTTCGCACTATTGGAGCCTCCTCTGATGATGTGCGGTGCAACTGACGGACGGGACGTTCATTTCTTGGGTCGAGGGGCGTGGAAGTAAGAGCCCTCCCCCCTGTTAACCCCCATGATCGCGATGAAGCTGTCGGCGCTCCTGTGCAAGGTGCGCAAATTCAAAGCCTTCACCGGTCTTCTGGAAGTTGACAGCTAGACTCCAAAAGCATCCTTAGAGTCTCCGAGCCTTAGATCCTTCCACAACAGTTGAGCATCAAAGGACAAAGCCGATACGAAGATCGTGCAGAGACGCGAGCGTGCCAAACAGGAGCATGAGGGCAAATAGAGGGCTTGGAAACCTCGTCTGCTTATTGGGAGTGCTATATGGGCTTGGGGAACCTGCTTTAAATGCTGACTCTTATGTTACTATGGGGCTTGAATGATGTTGTAAATACTTCGCAAACCCAGGGCAACAAAATGTACACTGCCTCTGCCTCCCTGAAGCCCACATCCCTGAGTCCTTAAGTAGTCCAGGAGACCCGCCTCCCTTCAGCAGTGACAGGCAAACGCAAGTCCACCAAAGGCAAAGGATTCGGCTGAGATTCCCTCGGACCATCGGCCCCAAAGCAAGGGACCAGCTATGCGCGTCCATAGAGCTCCGAGCTTTTTCGGCAGAGCAAAATGCTTTGCTGAGCCGGAGATTCAGATGTGCATGAAGTTTAACGACTGGTTGCATCATGCTGGAAAGTGGTCTGCATGACGCAAAAAAGCCCTAAACCCTAAACCCTAAACCCTAAACCTGACTTTGGCAAGCCCTGCCTCGCCACTTGCGGCACTTGGAACATTCACAACGCGCTGTCTGTTTGATAGCATGAGTTTGTTTAATATGATTGTACAGTGATTATATGCTTCTATGAGCATTCTACTATAAAATTCTGTCTACGAAAAATCAAAGTGGAACTAGCATTATCACTATATTACAAAATGTATGCATTACAACAATTACGCTTACCATTAAGTACCGTAAAGTTGTTGTTACAATTATGTTATATACATCATATACATATATACATCATATACATATACATTATACATCATATACATTATACATCATATACATTATCTACATTATAACACTATATACATTATATACATTATATACACACATTACAACATTATAAGCAATATATACATTATACTATATACAGTATGTTATATACATTATATTATATACATGTGTACATCATATTCTCATATGCTCTAAGGCCATGGTCCTTTTCGTACTCAGCGACCCGCGGCTTCCCTTCGGCCAGCTCCGGATGCGTACGCCCTCTTGAAATGTGGGGGTTAATGGGTTCATAGGGTTTGGGGTTCAGGGTTTAGGGTTTATAACCCCTAAACCTATGGGGGTTTAGGGTTTAGAGGTTTAGGGTTTAGGGTCTAGGGTTAAGGAAGTAGGGTTTAGGGAAAGGTTTTGGTGGAAGACGGTGGGTGAGGTGGGCATTTTCCAACTTCCCCTTCTTTTTTCTATCTCATGTGTTCATCGATGGTCAACGCGTTTGGAGTGTTGGTTTGTTGTTGCGCAGGATGTGCGCAGATCATTCGCACCATGAAGCAAGATGAAACAAGTGGATGCAGATACAGTCAAGTGATGACATCCCCTCCTTGTGCAGGAAGTGCTTTTGACAGCTCAAACCCTTGGCTGAGATCTGCCTACGCTGCCTTAGGCTCGAATGGCCGTACTTGCTTTGCAATTGGACCTGTGCATGCGCGGGGGGGGGGGGGGGGGGGGTGCAGCACTTCCAAGGCATGTCATGTCAAGTCTCGGACTCTCTTCATCTCTCCTCAGATGACAGGCCCTGGCAACCGCGTCACGTGCCTTTACGTTGGCGCCGGATCCAGTGCGCGCTCGCAGGCCGCCCTTTGTGAACGCGCCGTATGGGGAGTCTGCCGAGTGGAATGCTTTTGGTCGGATCCTCTAACTTTTAAAGCCTCTCGCGAGGCCTTTCTGGCTGCAGAGGAGACAGCGCTGCCAACGGTGCTTTGCAATGCAGCCACGGCCATCGAGGCATCTTCGGAGACCTGAATGTTGTAGATGGGTAGAGGCCAAGATCGAGACATCGACAGATCTGAGAGAAGGCTATGCTTGCGACGCAACTACGTCATAGACAGCGCGCATACGATGTTGAACACTAGGGCCCAGTAAGGGGGTGGGGGGGTAAGGGGGGGTTCGGCTCCTCTTGTGGCTTCTGCTCTCTTCAGGTATGGCTCAGTGAGGCCGACCTTGGGCTTGTCATGCGCTTCGTGAACCGGCCCGAGGTGCGGAGCCTCATGGACATCTCTGGGTTTAGGGCCACAAAGTTTAGGGTTTTGGGGCTTATAAGGTTTTCAGGGACTACAGTGCCACTACGTGCCACCCTAACATACTATGATTCGACATTCTAGTCCATGATTGTCAGTGATGGGGTTCATTTTTTGAGGAATCGCACCTTTGGGTCGGATGTCCACACGTACGTTATGTACTGATCTGGGCGCATAGGAAGCATATTCGGCCTGGACCTCTTTGCAGGTCTACGAGATGCCACCTGGCTGGCCGTACGCACACCAGGCGCGATCGGTTTTCATGAACTAGCGCATCAGGCCAAGTCTGGGGGCAGCTTCATGCACTTTGCATCCATGCTTGGGCTTGCGAGTCACATCTTGGGATGTTTCCCCTTAAACTAACAGTCCTCAATGGGGATTATAGTACTCCCTCTTGTCGTCCCTATTAAGGACTGCTAATACAGAATATCCCAAGTCACACCTGTCTTGTGAAGGAACGTGACCTCATAGAGACAGCTGAAGGAGCCACAGTTTGCAGGTTTCCGGAAGCTAAATGCACCCCCTTTTCCTGCATTGTTTTGGTGTATGGTGTCAGGCACAGTATGAACCCTAAGCTTCAAGTAGGGGCGCTATGTGGACAATATATCTTAAATCAAAAATAAAAGAACCACCCCCTAAAATTGGCCAGATTCCCAGGTGCTCGAGGACACCCCGACGGAGGCGCTGCCGGAGGCGGTGTCGGAGTCGGAGGCGGACTCGCAGGCGAGCTCATCTCAAGAATCACACGGTTGTCCATCTTCTTTGTGTAACTTCCTCATGAGGATTCTGAGGGAGGGGGGGCATTCTAGACGAAAGACCCTTTCACCAAAGTCGACGGGCTGCTGCTTGCTCTTCTTTCGATGGCAGGATGAGGTGGTGTCCCCAGAAGAACATGCCAATGGCCATGATGAAGGCCATTCATCTGTCCAGCTTCGGGAGACCAGTGGGAGGGCACTGCAGGGAACTCTCACATTGACCTCATGACCATGGCTTGAAACACACGCGAACCCACGTCACCTCGGGAAGGTTCGGCGATAGTGCCGCAGTCAGCACCCCAGGGACCATGGAGTGGAGTGCATTCCTTGTGCCACAGATTGCCACAGTGGTCAGGAGGCAAGGTCTCTGCACCGTTTAAACCCCCAAGCCAAGGGCCTATACCAATTATTCCTAGAGGATATCATGGGCCAATATACCAATTATTCCTAGAGGATATCATGGGCCAATGATATTCATAATGTGATCCCAATAATTCGGCAATCGGAGGTTCCATCACCACAGCAGGACAAGCTTTCCTGCAGAGGTCCTTGATCGGCGCCAGTCCCGGGGAGTACGCGCAGCGCCCGGCATGATGGATGTTCGAGTATCTGCATTCATGTCCCGCAACTGCTCTAGCTTTTTCAGTTGTAATCAAAAGTTCATGTTTTATGTTGTGCTTGCAAGGTCCTGTTCGATCTCAACCGGGACAATGTTGCTGACATTCCAGATGTCGCCACGGGCTGAGTGGCGACTGTGGACGTTGCACTTGTCCAGCAAGCCCAGCTTGTCATCCAAGCCACCATGGAGCAGAATCGAGCATGCACTTGCGCAGATGACCGCGCTCATGTCGCCTGCTTCGGCATTGGCCGCGGGGTGCTTGGAATGGACGGCTGAACTGAAGGGCTCAGGTCATGGGTTTTTTCGGGTGATTTACGGGAGGTTGTGAGCTCCGTGCTTAGAGACAGTGCCCCATCATCAGCGCTCTCGTGTGGCCTTTGCCTTGAAGGCTTAGATGCATCACCATCGAACCTGGCTTCAGAATTCCCGTCTCCGCCCTTGATTTATGACCCTTTGTTGCTCGCAGGCATTGCAGGAGAGGCCTCAGAGCGAGGCCATCATCGTTGCAGGGCGAAAGCCAGCAGCTCAAAGGGCGCCGGAGGTGGAATCAGATTTTTTCAGGATTTGCTCATATGATATGCATATATATATATACACATACTGTCACGCAGCATATATATATATATATAGCATACATATATACATATATAAGCATACATATATATGTATAGAGAGAGCATATATATATATATATATATATCGTATATACATGTATATGTCTTTTGCTATAGCCCATAGCTTGAATCTTAAAGCTTGCGTGCGCCGTCGGGGCGTGCGATCCACTGCTTGGAGGCCTCAAAGGCTTTCCAAGGCCTTCCCAAAGCATCCCAACAGCCTCCCGAGGGTCCTGTGATGCTCGTAACGCATTGATGCTGCTGACGATGAACAGAGGCTGAAGCTATGCAAGGCTCGCAATGTCAAGCAGCCGCTAAAAGCCACTACGGTTGTGATAGCTCAGGCAGTTTCCTTCATCTGCGCCGTGCAAGGAAACGGTTGTTATAGGGAGGGTTCCCCTGGTCTGATTGTTGCGGACGCCTGTCGGCCATGGAAGCGGTAGTTAGCTGTGCAAACGCCATGCCGAGGGCTCTGTTGCTTGACTGGTTCTACAAGCGTTTTGCTGTCTCATGGATGGCAGTCGCCATGAAGGCCGCCATAACGCCACGCATGTTTGAGTCTGTCGTCATTTCCGGAGTCTCGCGAGGGTCCCCTACGCAAGTCCCTGCCCTAACTATTTGTTGTGTACGTCTTGGGTGTGTGTGTGTGTACACACACACATATATATATATATATATATATAAACAAGTTTCTATTTTCCACAAGCCTCTAAACTGTGGTACACATGCAGCTGACACTGAGCACATCGCCCTTCGAACAAGCAGTGAGGTATGCATCTTTCATGACCCTCAAGAACTCGCTGGTGGAGGTTCTGCTGGAGCAGGACCACATCAAGCTTGCAGCAAACTCGAACAAAGAACCCTTGGAGGGAACCCTTTGAACTCCTCGACAGGGGTTTCCACCATACTACTGGTAGGGTTGCTGGGGCCTCTCTAGAACCCAAGAAAGAGAACGACGGATCTAGGGTTTAGGGTTTGAGTTGAACATGTGCGAAGGAGCCTGGCATGCATCTCCGCTTCCAGGCCCATGTTTTCTTGTGGCATGGCATCGGATGTGGGAACCCTAAACCCTAAACCCTAAACCCGCAGGATGATGAGGAGGCCATGAAGGCGCTGCTGAGCTACCATCCAGAAGCAGACAGGCTTCGAGCCGCACAATTCTGAAGAGTCGGGGCTGAGTCACCGAAACCATCAGGTACCCCCCACCCCCCCCTAAACCCTAAACCCTGAACCCCCCCCCATCCCCCAAAAGCTGGAAGGCTCCTGGAAGACCTGGTGGCGATCAAGGTGGATTGCTCCCCGGTGGATGATGACACCAGGCGGTGCTGCGCGGTTGCGCACGGAGTGTGCCCTTAAGTACAGTGACAGCGCTGGATAAGAAACCTCTGCCCCAACAGGTGTGCAGGAACGCTTGTTTGATTTCAATTGCGTCTCGATGATCGTGCAACCTGTCCAGGTGTCTGTGGGTGATCAAGTTCGATGGATATGAGGATCCCTTGAGCACTTTGTTTCTGCTTTGTTCCTCCTGGCGTTCTTGGTGCCCTCTATGGGCGATGCATGGCCCCCCTTCATTTGCTCACAGCCTCCTACCAGGAAGATGTCAGCCTCCAGGCATGCTTCGAAGGCCAGGCGGTGTAAAGTTTTTTACTTGTGGTGGCAGGCTGAGTATATGGGCAGGATAGAGTTCGACATGCTTGAAGAGAGCCGGAGCTCATATCACCAAGAAGCTGTTAACACGTTAACCATGTACCGAGCAGTATGCTACGAGACACATGTGGCACAAGCGACCTGCGCTTCGAGGAGTTTTTGCAACTGACTCTGCATAACACATGACCTCTGGCTGCAAAAGCAGAATGTGCTCATGTTTTTCAGACATCGAATACATTTTGAATATATGAGGTTCCAAACTCAACTACCTACTCTGCAAAAACCATCCCGTCGTTTCGGGCTACCTACCATGCCAACGGCTTCCCCGGCGCTGGACCACAACAGGGGGGCCGGCGGATAACTCCAGATAATCGCTGACCTCCAGTTATTTTTAGCGAATTTGGCAAATTTGTAAGCTGGGGCGGGGCTTCCAAATTCCCGACCTTCTAAGTAGTAGAACTTATGTACGCTTAACTGTGGCCTCCGCTTGTTTCAGTAAGCGAAATTCAGAATCGAAATAGTATACAGGAATTATGTGATTGAGTATATTTCTAGAAGTTGCAAGGATAGACTGGTAGTTTCAAAATCGTGGTTTTTATTTGTCGTCGGTAAAACCAACTTTTTCTGAAGGTTCGAGGCTCGAAAATGTCGGGAAAACCCACTTTTTCTGAAGGTCGTGGCTCGAAAATGTTGGTCTTTCCCACTTTTTCTTAAGGTGAAAGCATGTTGTTTGAAACTCGTGCGGTTTTGGTTGTTGTTGGTAGGGCCGAGTTTTTTGAAGGCCAGGCTGGAAAATGCTGGTTTTGCCAACGTTTTTTTGAAGGTCCGGACCCGAGAACCCTCAAATCCTGTGGCCCTGGATGCAGGAGCGTATTGTTGATGCCGATACCTGACAGAAAGACAAAAGTCTTCACGAAATGGGTGGATCAACAGGGGGGTTCCATATATACATATATATACATACATAATACATATATATATATATACATACACATTCCAAGGCGCTCTGGGGGCCCGCATGTGCTGCACCAGAGCATTCCAGATGTGTAAGCGCGAAAGGTGCACATGTAGACAAAAGATTGCGGAGTGGGGCAGAAACCACGGAGAATGTCTCGGGTTGGCTCGAGAGACTGCCAGAGGCCTGGAGAAGGCTCTCCACCTCGATGCGCCTCAGGGCGAAGGCCTAGTTGGGGCTCTTGTGTCCGTGCGGTTTATGTACATTGTCATTATCAAGTCGATGCATGGCCGCCAGCCTTACAGTTCGGATTGCTCAGGGATGCCTGACGTCGCTCCTCTTGAAAAGAACACATATGGAACACCTTCACATTGCAACCCCCGCCCCTCCCCCCACTCTGCTTCCCATGCCCCTGACTATGCGGAGAGCCTGCAGACGCGAAGGAGTCCGCCCCCGCCACTTTGTGCCGCGCCTGGGGCCAGGGCGCTGGCGCAACGATGTGCAGAGGCATCGGTACCAGGACTACCAGCTCAGAGATCTATGGAATCAGTATTAACACTGTAACTTGTTTGCGAAAACCTCGGCCATGAGTGGCTGGGGGAAGCCACTTCTGTTTCTTTGAGCGGGTAGTCGCAAGGCCTGAGAATCCGTCTAGAAGTGTGATCATTGTCATTGTGATCAAAGTGCATCCTACTCAGCATACGCTGGTTGTTTTCCGAAGTGATGCTGCAGACTTTGTCGTTTGTGGGCAGAGAGATTCGGACACTGTTGGTGGTGTGTTGCAGGATCTTCCATCCTTCGGCCAGTGGGCTTGAAAGATCTCGAAAGTGCTTCCTTGTAAATTCCTTGTGTTGCAGCATATTGGCTGGCAGGGAGACCGCCTTCCAACGGGCCGAGCGGGAGGAGACATTGGGCATCACAGCCAACAAGTGAGAGGGAGGCTCGCGCCACTTGCTCTGCCAAAAACACGTCCAAGCTCACCCTGCATGCACCCAAACCCTGGACGTCATAAAAGCCGTGATGTGACAAGGCAACCCAAAGTCAGAGTAAGCCCCAAACCATTTGGACAGCTCTCTCCTTCCCCCCCCCCGTGCCACCTTCTCTCTCTCGCACTCTCCTCTTTCGCTCTCTTTCCCTCTCTGTCTCTCTCTCTCTCTCTCTCTCTCTCTCTCTCTCTCTCTCTCTCTCTCTTTCTCGCGCTCTCTCTACAGTGTTAAGAGCATTTGGGCAGCTATTTCGTTGCCAACTAGCATCGTCGCAAGGCTGGACAGAGGATGCTTCGACAACTGAGCCATAGCACCAAGCCGCGGTGCTGCGCCACAATCTAGCATCTGACTAGGCTTTGGGGGTCCTATTTGTTGGGGTAGGGGGAGGGGAGGGGGGAGTGGGCGCCTAGAGTATTTTCATGTAGGGTGTGATAGGATTCATGAGTTTAGGGTTGTAAGATCCTTATAAGTTCGGCGTTTAGATCGGAAGTGGAAGTGCTTGGTCCTTCGACCACGGATCGCAAAGCTTTCCGTCCTTGAAAGGGAAGCAGAAAAAGGAGCCGGGGCTCTCAATCACATATACATATATATATATATACATATATACATACATTCATACATATATATATATATATATTTGTATGTACAATGTTTAGTTTCTACATATATGCATATACACGATTGTATCTTTGATTTTATTTTGTTCTGTTTTTAGTGAAGTATTCCGAGCTTCCATATCTCATAACATGCATAAGTCGGATAGTTGCTGTTTAATGCAACTTCCAGTATGTAGCTGTCCATCCTCATCTGTATCTCACGCAAGAATAGTTGACCTGGGCGACGGTCAGATACTTGCCCACTCAATAGGTTCCATTCGGTAGGATATTTCGGCTGTGATGGCCATTGATGTATGGATGGAGGTCCAGCAATTAGGGGGAGGTCGAAATGGGGTCTTGCAATGCGACCAGAATCAGAGCTGCCTCTGTAGTACAACTCGAGGCACAAGCTTCTCTTGAGGCTGCGTCAACAAGTTTTCGAACCTCTGCCGCACGTGATGCAAAGACTGCATTGCTCCCAGGACCACGGAGTCTTCATCATCTTCATGAGTGATTCGCTGAGCTTTCGACACGTGCCGTGCCCAAGCAGCATATTATAAGGTTCCGAAAGAAACTTGCCTCAAAACGAGGGTGACGTTTCAGGCTCGGTTTTTGCTTTCAGCAGCCGAATCTGAGCGCGGTCGCTGTGAGAGTCATGCGTAGCTTGTGCCGTAAGCAAGGCTCCGCAACTTTTGTCTCGTATAGTTGGTACCCTAGACCGTTAGCATCTCTAAACCCAAAACCCTAAACCCAACAGGGGAGCCTGAGTTCCATCTATAGGAAACCTAGCAGACCTGCCATGACGTGTGCAAGGCGCGGAGATTCCAGTCTCGCCCCGATCGGTCGGCACGTCCGGGAGCTGCCCCCGGGCTGGGAGGCAGGTGAAGTAGGATTGAGAGTTTAGGGTTTAGGGTTCGGGTTTAGGGTTTAGGTTTAGGGTTTAGTATTAGGATTTCAGGTTGGGTTTAGGGTGTTTGGGGATTCCCTAAGCTTAACGTCAAGTACAAATTTGCAACATGTCTTATATGCATATGTCTATATATACATACATATACGTACTCAGAAACCTGCATGTTCATAACATTTTGACAAATGCATCGGGAAAGCACAGGGCCGAAGCTTTCGTTAAGTTGGGTAATGGTTTTCGCATCTCTTGCACGTGTTGTGTTGCTTTTCACATGTATCGTTCATTTGGTACAGCATAGTACACTACGCACTCAGATGTCTCGATACAACTGCGAGGTCCGTGCGGGCTCCCCGCCACATATTGCTCCTGTGGGCGCCCGCCTGGGTCGCACTTGCTACACCCTGGAGGCGGCCACAGCACTTAGAGCAAGAGAGAGGCTGCTTAGGGCTTTGGGATTTTCAGGGTATTTCGGGATTTTGAAGTCTGATTCTTCATGCAATCTCACGCCAGGATGCCTGGGCACTACATATGGAGCAGGTGTACTCAAAGGCGACGACATGATTCGACATGTATCGAAATGTGCAGATGTAGCTTTGACTCAGCCTTCAAGTCCCTGCTCCCTATGAAGACGGCACACTCGTTCGCGATGCTATGCCTGCAGGCTGCGAAGCCCAGGCAGGAAGTTTTCCCTTCGTGTCTCTGTTGGAGGTCTTATTGGAGGTTCAGATGCTGGTTGGTCCGCTGTTTCGCCTTCAAGGGATACTGTACGCATCCTATGATGTATAACCCCATCTGCAGACTCTCCTACAGGGCCTGAAGACACTGACCAACGGATGACGCAAAGCATTCTGAATTTAGTGTTTCAGGTCGGAGGCCTCGCCCACACTGCTCCAAGGCCGGACTGTCTTGAACTCCAGCACACACACACAATCGCACACAGCAGGTCAGACGTGGTAATTAGAATGCAGTGCGGTGTGCCTCTCTTCTCGGCAGGTTTAGAAGCCTCGCAGTTAGAAATCTCCCCCGCGCCCCATGTTGTCGAGGCAGCCCTGCCTCCTCCCCGCAGCCGGCGGCCGTCGCTGGGGCACTGAGATATCCAAACTCTTCAGAAGCACATCTCGAGTCTCGATCCTCCGAAGCGGATTCTTCATGTGTCGTGGGGAGGTGCTTGTGGGGATGTAACCGTTGAGGGGCGAAAGCCATTGCGGACGAAAGATGGTTTCACGACACTCACAGCAGCAGTTCTCCAACGAGTCAGTGGGCTAACTGGCCCAGAGAATCGAGCATGGACAGGAAAGTAGCATCGCCACTAGCAGTTCTGTTGCGATGATCGTCTTGCATGGGATTGCTAGTACAGTATAGTCGATAGTCGAAAGTTAGGACACTTATATGTCCATGGCCTGCAATGGCTAGGCTGGTGCCTTGCATCGGGTTGCTGGCCCTGGTCTCTTGGCGCAGTTTCTGTGACTTTTCTCTCCCGCGAACCCCTCGCCGAGGAAGCCTCGCTTCCAGGCGGGCCTTGCAGCCTGACGAGCTGCCCACGGTGGCCGCACCTGGCGGCAGCCTGCCAAACGGCGAGCTGCGCGAAGCCTATGAACCTGAGATGCACCTCGACGCGCGGGAGGGTCGAGTTGAGATTTTTCCCTCGCCCATCTACAGGCGGAAGATTCGTCCAAGCAACGAGGAGGTACGTGCATTGAATGACGAGATAGTACTGAATTTCCGACGGATCATGGCCAGGGATGAAAAAGGTATCGAATATTCGAAGACACATTATGCGGGCGGCTACACGTCGTATTTCAGTCTCCCTGCACTTCAAGGCTGGGTTCCACCCATTCAGACTCTCGAGGAGTGGCTCAGGCCTCATATTCAAGAGTTCACTCAGCATGCTCTGCTCCAGGATGGACCGGAACTCTTCATGACAGATTGCTGGGCCAACGTCATGGGCGACGGCACAGAGCACATGTTCCACCAGCATAAGAAGTCCACCATCAGCGGCACCTACTATGTCCAAACCCCGAGGGGCTGCTCAGGTCTTTTATTTGAAGATCCACGTTTGGACCGAACAGTGGCAAAGCAATCACGCCGCGTCGTCGAGTTTCCAGCGATTGCTGGCTTCGTGGTGCTCTTTGAAAGCTGGCAGCGACACAAAGTTCCGCCCAATTGTGGGGACGGAGAACGCAACTTGGCTCTGTCATGCTCTGTCATGCGGCCTTTGATCGGAGTTTTGCACTTTGCATCGGTACATTCAGTACGTTCAGTGACCGTAAGCCACGCTCGAGTGACGGTTGCATTTCATGAGACTCAGTAACATGTCAGTATCCATGTTATGCATCTGTGGCTGTGCTTCTCAGGCATTAGCGTCAGCTTCAATTACCACTGGCGGTATGAGGAGCCGACAAAGATTCCACTGGAATAGCCTTCAGAAAGAGGATGAGATGCGGGAGACTTCTGGCACCTGCAGTGGGAGCTGTTCGCAACTACTCAAAACCTCCCAAGCAGAGTGGGACCGAGGAGCGGCTGATGGAGAGGAAGGTTAGGAGGTGTTGAGCAGCGCAGCAGGGTCCTGACTGGGGTCCGCGAGGTTGAAAAAAGGCGACTCCGTCCTTAAACTTTGCCCTTTCGCCAGCCACCAACCAGCTGAGGTGAAACCGATTGCGAGCAATGGATTCCCCTACCAGGCTGCGATGTGGATGGGATGCGCTATGACACACACGTCTTTCAACCCCAGTAGCGTAGCTGACGTCCCCTGCAGCGCAGGTTCAGCCTGAACTCCTGGCGGATGCCTTGCTCTCTGCAACAAGCATCATTTTCGCAGCGTTGCCGGGACATGCATACCTTGTGTCTCCTTGGATCTACTTGCGTGCTGATGTAGTAGCTACATCATGGAGATGAGTTGAAGCCACGGTGCCCTCCCGATACCGCAAGGATCCTCAAGGTTTCCTCCGATGCCCAGGTGACGTCGCTGGATCGGGAGGAGCTGATCTCCAGGCACGGAGCTGGTTGTTCCTTGTTGTGTGTGGGCATGCGGGCGGTGTGTGTTTGTGTCTGCTTTGCGTCTGCTTTGCATCAGGCAAGCCACACCCAATCCAGATTTGCATGTTCAGCCGCTCCAAACAAGCGCCCTTTGCAGTGCCCTCCACTTCTCATGCAAAGGACACACCGTCGAGTACTACCACTACTATAGCTACCTTGTCAAGAATTACAACTACTAGATGTTATTCTGTTGATTGTTTGGACGAATATATTTTCTGCACCACTACGAATATATACTTCCACTGTTCTTCCCTATCATTTCTATTGTCATTGCTGCTGTTGCTACTCCTCTACTACTACTACTACTACTACTACTACTACTACTACTACTACTACTACTACTACTACTACTACTACTACTACTACTACTACTACTACTAACACTACTAGCTACTACTACCTACTACTACCTACTACTACCTACTACTACCTACTACTAACTACTACTAACTACTACTAACTACTACTAACTACTACTAACTACTACTAACTACTACTAACTACTACTAACTACTACTAACTACTACTAACTACTACTAACTACTACTAACTACTACTAACTACTACTAACTACTACTAACTACTACTAACTACTTCTAACTACTACTAACTACTACTAACTACTACTAACTACTACTAACTACTACTAACTACTACTAACTACTACTAACTACTACTAACTACTACTAACTACTACTAACTACTACTAACTACTACTAACTACTACTAACTACTACTAACTACTACTAACTTCTACTAACTACTACTAACTACTACTAACTACTACTAACTACTACTAACTACTACTAACTACTACTAACTACTACTAACTACTACTAACTACGCTAACTACTACTAACTACGACTAACTACGACTAACTACGACTAACTACGACTAACTACTACTAACTACTGCTAACTATTACTAACCACTACTAACTACTACTAGCTACTATTAACTACTACTAACTACTACTAACTACTACTAACTATTACTAACTACTTCTAACTACTACTAACTAGTACTAACCACTACTAACTACTACTAACTATTACTAACTACTACGAACTACTACTAACTACTGACTACTACTACTACTACTAACTACTACTACTACTACTACTACTACTACTACTACTACTACTACTACTACTACTACTACTACTACTACGACTACTACTAGCCGCTGCTGCTGCTGCCGCACTACTTCTACTTCTGCTACTTCTGCTACTACTACTACTACTACTACTATGACTACTACTACTACTACTACTAACTACTACTAGCACTACTACTACTACTACTACTACTTTTACTACTACTACAATACTACTACTACTACTACTACTACTACTACTACTACTACTACTACTACTACTACTACTACTACTACTACTACTACTACTACTACTACTACTACTACTACTGCTACTACTGCTACTACTACTACTGCTACTACTACTGGTACTGCTACTGCTACTGCTACTGGTACTGCTACTGCTACTGCTACTGCTACTGCATCATCTGCCTCAGGCTGCGGGAAGCGGATGCGCGACTGGAGGCGCGCTCTGAGTGTGCCAGGTATATTGGTCGTGTCACTTGGCGGTCCACATGACATGGGAATTCTTGGGCCTTGGGCGCATGAAGTTTTTGTAATCCGGCCCATCAATCATACCATTGGGCCTGGTGCAGGAGCTGCAGCGACACAATTTTCAGCTCCGAGAGGATCGAAGGGGTGTGGGAAGGGGGGAGTTATCTCACCGGAGTTTGTCAATGTCGTATGATGACATCCAGCGCCTTACGAGTCTTACTGTAGCTTCGGGTTGAAGGCTCTCGCATCTCGCAGAGCTTATCTTCTGTCCCTATAGATTCTGAACCCCCAGGAGAGAGACATGGCACAGCGGCGACTGGAAGAGGCGGCCAGCAATCTGAAGCCTCAGCAAGGGAGAGTTCAGCAGCTGCCTTGTGTCAATCGGGTTTGGGCCCTTCCTCCTCTTATCATCTCCATGGTATACATGAAGCCGCTTCAGCCATCTTCTCCCCCCGTAACACTGCGGCGGGTGCTCCTTGTGACAATGGACGCACCCGGGAAGCGACATCATGTCCACCCTGTCTGCCAAGCGCGCACCCCCCACAAAGCCAAAGAAGTGCAAGCCCCCAAAGCACCCGTGTGGAGGCTCGTGCAGAGATCACGAGGCGGCCGCGCCTGGAGGGCTGAAGAAAACCACCCCGTTTCACGTGAAAGCCGCGCAATCATGTGGTGTGCTTTCGGATTTGTTCGGTTGGTGGCGACTTGAACGTGGAACTCCATGAAAACCATGAAATCCGCTTCCTCGCAGGCTCCATGGTCTCAGCCACCGAAGCGCGCGGGGCTGAGTCAGAATTTGGAGCGGCATCAGAGTTGTCATCGCATGTGATCACCAGGGCCTGGGCCCTTCTAGTCATTCTAGTCATGGAAGACAGCCCTGCGCGAATCTCCCCTGCATGGCAGAGACTCTGAGAGATTCGGGGCTTTCAAGGTGTCGCAGTCCTCGCTGCCGACATCGCCATCTCAGAGAGTGCTCGTCACTTCCCCCCAGCCGCTGCAGCCAAGCAGACGGGCTGGCCTGTTTCGAGCGTGGATGGCAGATCGGTTCAGGCTTTACAGTGGGGCCTTACATAAGGGCCACATAGGCTTAGGATCTGGTTCACTCGCACGTTCGTTTTGTCATTCGAGGCATGGCTACTGTCGAATTTGCTTTGCATTCCGAATACTGCAGTTATTTTCTGTAAGGTTACGACTCATGCTCCCACCCGATTGACAGCTTTGCATTGCTGCCAGATAGCTCCGGGTTCATCAAGAGCGAAGCAGCAGCATGCCCGCCTGTGTGCGAAACCTATCTCAGAGTGCTTGCCTTGCCTTAAAGAGAGCATTTGTGAACTCTGTGTCTCTGCACATGTGACACCTCCAAACCATGCCTGTTCAAGGCGCAGCACAGCATTTGTTGTACCGTACTGTCGCAGTGCGTCTTGCAGTGGCTTGTCCTGGGTGTCGCAAGCAGACTCAAAATCGCTGGTTCACCTCTGCACTGCTCAGAGTGCTAAGCTGCTGAAGGCCGAACCCTCATTTTATTAAACCAAACAAGGCCGAACTCCTGGCAACCTCCGACCTCAGCGCGGGAGACTCCGGGAAGATCCGCCGTCTCGCCTGAAGCACAGGCTGATGGCTCTGCAGAAGTCGAGACATGTAAGCTGCGAAGCAACCTGTGTGTGGTTCTCTAAGTTAGGTTCACAAGGGGACCCAAGAACTTTGGGTCCCAAAAAAGGACCCTAATTTAGAGAACTGCCCATCCAACAAGATGCCACAAGAATGAGGCTTGAGGCTTCTGGGTGTGACGTTATGGAAAGCGCCGAGGCCAGTCTCAGGTGGGGACGGTGATGGAGAAGAAGGCCATATGTCACGGCACACTCACGGGTGGAAGCGCCGGCACGTACTCCGATGACATGCTCAGGTTTAGGGTTAGGGTTTAGGGTTTAGGGTTTAGGGTTTAGGGTTTAGGGTTTAGGGTTTAGGGTTTAGGGTTTAGGGTTTGGGGTTCGTAGTCTTCAGAGGAAGTCTAGTCTGAGGTCTTCGAAGTCATGCACCCGAAGCATCTGCCCCTGAGGCGACATGTTCCCTGGACCAGACTTCAACTGCACCTGGTCTTATGCTGTAGGTTTAGGGTCTAGGATTTAGGGTTTAGGGTTTAGAGATGCTGGAAGCATAATAGTAACGTTGGCAAGGTCTGCTGCTGCAATGGTTGTGGAAGCGCAGGTGACGTGCTCTAGTGTTGCCAGTAGTTTGTGTCCATGTATAGCTTAGCTTCCCAAGCAGCTTGTTCCACTTGCAAGCACAGGCTTTTGGATACTTGGATGGAGTAGTGATGTTGATCAGAGAGTGCTGAGGCAACAACTTTCGGTCAACGCAGCCCTTGGTGACCGGCTTGAATGTGGTCATCTTTCCTCTGTGAAGTACACAAGCTGATTGAAGCAGCTGCCTTTCTCAAGATGCAGTAAACCTTAAACACATCTACCAGAAATTTGGTGTGTTCGGCAATGAGGTTTGGCGTTGTTAAACCTCCCCGGCTTCAAGGTCTTTTCTATGTCAGTCTGGCTTCGCTTTACATGCGAAGCACTCCGTGAGCCACCTTTTATGGTCTTATTGCCGGCATGGAGCATTCACGGGCGTGAACATCCATATCATCGCAAGACGCGCTTTTACACGTCATGCATGTGTGTCGAGTGATGAACCGTTCTGAGCACTCGAGTGACAGACGCATGTGTGCCTTGATGTTATGGTGCAGAGCCCAAGGCCACGATGGCCTCAGTGCCAGCGGCGGCGCCACCTCCTTCCAGGTGAGACCGCCAGCTGTGTGGGACATAGAGTACTTGAATGATGTGCATCTAAATAGGTAAATGTACACATATATACACATATTATATATATATGTATAATATATATATATACTGACATATTCACGGTTACGTTGTTACCTGCTTATATTCATGTATAAACGAATGTGTATGCATTAGTAGCGTTTGCTGGAAACGAAAACATGGCTCTCCATGAGTCCCCCCCCAAAAAAAAACAAGAGTTGGACTTGCCGTGCACCTTCATCGCTCTCTGCTCTACAATTCTCTGCTGACATTCTGCAGGATGTCGGAAAAGCCCGTGGAGATCGTGGTTTCGGTGGCAGCCATAGTTTTCTGGAGGCTGCTGCTCCGAACCCTCTGGCCTCTTGCCCTGCCTTCGAGATGTGCTGAGGTTCCGCGCGCATCGGTCGATGAGATAGAGGCTTGGAACAGAGTGAGATATTGAAGCTGCAACAGATACTGTACCCATTGAAGCTCATTGAAGGCGCCACCGCCCGTGCTGGTCCCGCATCCCTGCCGCTCGTTGCAGAGCCTCCAGGCCTTAATGGGTGGAAAGCAAGCACCTACAGATGTCAGGAGTTGAGCCTGACCCTTCCCCTTCACCGATGTACTTGTATTTGCACGGGCGCGTCTGCATCATGTGCTGCAGAAGAACACCCACGTGCCGCTGGTTCCGCACCAGGCGGGGAAGGCTCTGGCAGGAAGGTTTTGTGGGATTTGATGGTGCATGGTGCTTCTGTTAAACATCCTGAACCCGCAGCCCTGAACTTGCATACTGAACAAGACTTATTTGGTGTCAACCAGAGTACCATTGAGCATGTCAAGAACTACAGATGATGTCTCATCAGCTTGCTCAACTCGATCCTCCGCTCCGTGTCCGACCTGTGACACGAGTTTGGCATGGGCTCTCTTTTGAAGCTGCTCCACCTCACTGCAGCTAAGCAACTAAGCACAGTTTCATATCCGCATGTAGTCGTGTGCGAGTGCCGAGAATTCCAAAACGGCCTGCAGGTGACACGGCTGCCTTCAGCCCCTGCACCGCAGTCACAGGCAGCGCAGCCCGAGTACTTCCGCACCGAGAGATGTGGGGCAGACATTGAGAAGTTGCGGGGAATGAGCGGCATGAGAACCGTAGTCACCGTCATCATAAACTTTTTTTTGCAGCAGGCTTTTGCTGGCGCGCCCGTGCAGGCACGGGATCTGGCATGATGGGTGACAACAGTGGGTGAGTTGTGGCGCCAAAAGGGTCGGCGTGTGCTTTTTCACCGCGTTGTGAAAAACTGCTTGGTATCCTGAATGTGTTGGAACAGCTACGGTTACGACGTCATACAGGCCATGCGGAAGAATAGGTCGGTGCATGCGTTTATGCAGTATTGTTGCAAGAGATCTCGAGTGTGCCGTCAGGTGGCATGCGCAAATGCTGGGTACGCTCATCATCACCACATCGCGCGAGGGTGGCCCTCCCACCGAGCTGTTTGAATGTAATCTTGGCAGAGATGTAACAGCAATATACGTATATATATATATATATATACGCACATCTTCAGGTAATGGGGGGACGAATTACCCTCTGCTGAGCACCGCCCTGTATTCATGAAAGGACGGAATTGTGTCGGGACAGGCTGTTGCCGTCAGGGCTGCTGCCATCGGCTCCAGCATCTCTCGCAGGAAGCCCGGCCAGCCTCATGAATCCGAGCACATGTCCCGAAGCTTCCATGGGGAACAAAGCACAAAGATGTACATGTACATCTGTACAGATCGATGTATATGTTTATGTATATGTATATGAAGTACCAGTAGAACCCTCAGAAAGGATAATTCGGTAAGAAGGGATCGTGCTGTTTCCAAGGCTGCTCCGGCTGGGGGCCGTGTGGTCCGTCCCATCAGCCAGGTGGCAAAGGCCCCGCCTATCGTGACGCAGCAGGCTGGAGGGATGTAGCTGAAATCCCACCTGCAGTTACAAGCAAAGCATCAGGAAATCTGTTCCTTCAATGGTTCTGAATGATCAATGCTCCGCATCGTCAGAAGACAGGCGTGCATTACCGGCTACCGCTGAGACGGAAGCGTGACCCGTAGAACGAGATGCTGAGCTGACGGTCGATATTTTTGGGGCGCCCTCATATTGCGCATAAGATGTACATTGAAGTAGGATGGCGTTTAGCCGCATTGGTTGTTTAGACCGGTGTGGGCGGCCAAAGCTACATAGGAAAGCATGTCTCAGCCATCTCCATCATTGGATGGGCGGCGGATGCGCTACTGTAGCTGCCCTGATCATCCCGATTGATTTGTCTGCGAATCGCCTCTAATTAGTTGGACTCCTGCTAGCGAGTCAGCTCATGGATCGCAGAGTGCCTAAGGCAGCCTTCATAGACTCATAAGCTCGAACCCCAGAGTGCTGTGTGCTACCATGTGCCACCTATGTCCTGCGTTGAAGGGGCACTTTCTTCATCGCGGAAGGCGCTGTCAAAGCATCCCAAATATCTCAAGCCATGGCCAGCAGGAAGTCTCGTTTCGCCGTTTCGCTTGTTCGTCGATGCATTGTTCGTCGATGCATGTATATTGTAACGTGATGCATGTCTCTTATCAATGCAGGGGAGTGTTTCGCGCGATGGAAAAAAGGGGCGTGGGCCCTGAGTTGATGCTCAGCTCCCTTGCAGAGCTTGGACCTTGACTGCGCTGTGAGCTTCTGGGAATTTCTGGGAGCAGACATGTCTTGTTGCTCACGCTGCGTTAAGGCTCATGGAATCTCGTGGAGGTTTGTGTTGTATCCCGACCTTCCTGAAAGCCTGGCGATCCTGACCAGGCATGCCATGGCTACCACGGGCAGGAATTGCTTTTTTGACACCTCAACACGGATGCACGCATTGGTCATTTTGTGTGTTAAACTCGTTTGCCCTTAGCAAGTGTCGTGCCTGGGTGTGTGTGTGTGTGTGCATCCGTGCCGTGTCGTGTGGAAAGATGTGCATAGTGACAAGCTCTGCGCCGAATGCGGCCTCACTCACCAGCTGAACTGATCTCCCTAGAGAAGCTGAATCCGTCTACGCCAGCTTCAGCTATGGCTCTAGGTATGCTTCCTGCTGCGATGTGCCGTTTGTGGCAGCGGAAGGACCTGCCAGAGTTGCTGTGATCGGGGACGGTGAACGCTGTTGCCAAAGCGCAAAGAAATTGAAGCGGCACCTCAATTGCTTGTTCGGCTTGTCTTTCGAATCGTGAGCATAGTCCTGGAGTCTGTTGCGGAAGCAGGATGGCCCATGGGCCAGTCCAGAGACGACGCATTTGATTATCGCCATGGCTGGGCACTCATGACACATAATTTGGCAGTCCATTTCAAGCTCAGGGCTTTGATCAGAGCGCATGAGTGATAATTGCAGCTGCGACCCTATAATATACTAGTAGGAGTACACTGTAAGTCGAGCTGTGTCTAGCCATGTCTAGTTTGCCTCAGGTGCTTTGCTGGAGCACGGCGTCGCACCTGGCTTGGTCAGGGCACGCAGCTCAGTACAGCTCAGTGCTCTCTCTCAGCCTCTTGGACCAACGTTTCAATCAAAAAAACAGCTGAAGGCCAGGGCAGATTGTGAGGAATTGTAGCGCAACAGGCAGCGGAGCCAGAAAGGGGTGCTTTGCACATTCTATAGGACCAGGCCTTGACCGAAGCCCCTGACCACCTCAAAGTACCATCGTGCCACGCGCTACCTCAGGAAGCTCATTCGGTTGAATCATGTTCGCCTCTCCATGTCCTTGTCTCATCTGCAAGGCCCCGTGAGGGCGCTATGGCCGAGGCTTGGGCACCCCATGGTGGTTTAGCAGACCCCTATACCCTTGCAGGGATATCTGGGCCTACAAGAGCCCAACTGGCACGATGTTTGCATGTACTGCGCAGTTTGCTGCACAGGAGTGGTCGGCAAGCTCATCTTGGAACTGAATGTGCATGGTACAGTCATCAGATCAGATGGAAACGGAAAGCTAAAGACATGTCTGCCTGCAGTCGGCACAGGGAGGGTGAGCACCGCTTTCAGCCCAAGATGAGCCCCCTGACTGTTTTTTATTTTTCGAAGGCCGGCCTTCCCAGCCGTGTGCTGAGCGGCGATGCTTTGCAGGTGCTTTCAGGGTGCGCGGAGTGCGATTCTCACTTTGAAGGCATCTTTGGCCGAAGCTTGGGCTGAGGGGGGAGTGCTCTTCAGCTTCTGGCTGGGCACAGCTCGTAGCCTGCTGTTGCTCCCCCACCGTAGCAGTTGGTCGGAGTCAATTTGTTCGATTCATTTGGCTGGGTCGCGTTTGGTTGGATGGGGTGTCTGCACAGAGTCTGCATGGGTTCGAGGTATGCAGAGCCTCAAAAAACAAATCTGTTTCTCTGTGACTCCTTCCTGAGAGTAGGACTTGATGCCTTTGGAACCGCTCTGGGACTCTTGGCAGCAGGATGCTGGCTTTTGCACGTGACCGGGGCACATTGGATCCCACAGTGCCGAAAAATCGGGATGTGTCGATGATCTTCTTATGTCTGTTTTCAGGTCTTGACCAGGAGTTGCAGCCGTCACGGTATTTTCGGTTGTTCATGTTGCTCATGCTTTGCAGCATGATGCAGGGTTGGGGCAAAGCACTGTTGTGGCAGTTGTAGGCATTGTAGCATAGCAGCACAGCCTATTTGACAGCTGCCCTTCTTCACCAAACCTCGGGGGGGGGGGGGGGGGGGGGGGGGGGGGGGGGGGGGGGGCCTTCTTTTAAAACATGTAACACCCAAAACTTGACCCCAGAAGACCGGAAAAGAGACCCCAAAACCCTCAACCCACACCCTAGAACCCCAAACCCCAGGATGTTCTGGCACCAGCATTGGCCCTGAGCGTCGGGTCGCAGCTGGGTGTCTTCGGCGTTCAGCCCCTTGACCAGGTTTTGGGTTTGGTATTGATGGAACTCGATTCTGGGTTGAAGTGTGTATTAGGGTTTTCAGGGATTGGCGGGCTTGTGTTTATGTTGTTATTGTTGTTTATGCGATTTAAAGGTTTGGGGACTTAAGGCTTATGCGGCCTAAGGATTTCAAAGTCTTGGGCTTCTAGACTTATACGATTATGGCTTTAGCGGCGGAATAGCAAGCACGTCCAAGGCTGACGCTGGGCATGACTTTCGCCTGGCTGGCCAGACTTGGACAACTTGCACTGCTTCCAACCGGGTTCTTGACAAAGCCAGCTTGCGACAGACCCACTGAGAACCTCTGTTTGATTGAACGTGCTTGGCAGTGGTGGGGGCTTTCTTTGTTTACGGGCGCATTGCGGTCGTTGAAGTTTCCTCAAGGGTTAGTACAGCTCAAGACTGGGAGTCATGGCTTTTTCGGCCCGTTGTGCTTGAGGCTACAACCTTTTCCACCGCACACATCTGCTATGACAGGCTGAACCATTGCTGCTGTTGCTCTTCCCCGGGCCAGATCCCAAGCTGCTGGATCGTGGCAGAGGCGGCGACGCCTGTCGCTCGGCCGGTGCATCGTGAACAGACTCAAAGTCGGATTCTGCGCGCCCGGGCGCGGTTCAGCAAGTCTCGATCCTTCTCCAAGCCTCATCAATTTGCCTTTTGTTCCTCCATGTTTGAGAAGGCTTTTGAAGCTGCTGGAGGAGTGCAACCACCGGCTGCTTGCCTGGTGCGCAGGGAAATGGGACTCGGAGTTGCCACTTGCAGCCTTGCGCTTGGTGGACTGATCTTCCACGAGAGTTCCACGAGTCTTGCGTGTAGATGCCAAACTGATGAACCCTCGCACAAATGCCTCCGCTGTAGCTCAGAACAATGTAGAGAATCCTACTGGTAGAGTCCTGGCAGAGTCGAAGCCCAGCCACTGCGTGTACGGGGATGGGAACGGATCTAGTGGCGGTCCCTTTTCGGGTCTCTAACTGGTGTGTTCATTGTCGTTTAGAACCTCTAACCTCGCAGGACCTTTCAAGCTCGGACCTAAGTCATTTGGAACCCCCCCCAACCTAAGAGAACCTTTCAAGCTCGGACCTTCTCTTCCTCGGGCCTTGTGCCAGGCACCTCGGCGGAATTTTCGGCCAGCCCATGCTGGTTGCGCAGGCGGCCGTGGCCAGAGTGTGCATCGCTTGGGAGACGACGTATTCAAATTTACCCATGTCTTATGCTTACTTATATGTATATACGTATATAGTCAGTGTATATATATACATGTATATGTACATATGTGATGTACTTGTACGCAGCCCAATGTCAGCTTATAAGGTTTTTCAAATGCATGAACTCGTCACATCCTTGAGTTGCCCAGTTGCCGATGTTGGTCGCGCAGGTAGCCGTCGCCAGGGCGGAGAGGCCCACTTGAAGCCATGGCTTTGTTCGCGTACCGCAGAGTTTATTCTTGCGTGTTTGTTTAGGGTTTATAGGGTTTAGGTTCCGAATGATTGCGTGTTTTTCGGGTTTAGGGTTCAGGTTTTCGGCTGGCAGGTTTCTGCTGAACAGACTCTCAGTGGAACTGACTTTGTTCGTGGGGATCAGGGAATGGCGACAGTCTTCTTTTTGAAAACCAGGGTCCGAGGGAGGTGCTTTTCACAATTGTGGGCCTTTATGAATCGGCTCCCCTTGACAGGGATCCCCCTAAGCCCTCCACCCCTCCAGCGAGACTCACGCGCGTCAGGCATGAGGGCCGCGGCTGCGTCAAAGCCTTCGGCTTGCTCGTCGGTGCGTACTCCTTGGGTGCTGCAGGGGCTTCAGTTGCAGGTCATACATGTCACATACAGGAACGAATGCATAGCAGAGAACAACAAGCGCATAGTGTAAGTAAAATAAGTACACATTGTGTACTTTCCGGGGTCTCCAGTCGAACAGTTGAAATCGAAAAAGCACTGCACGTACCTGCTTTGGGTTGGGTGTGCAACACATCCTGCTTGAATCCTGATCGGTGCTTGCATCATGTAGCTGGCATTTTAGTATCATTGCGGTTGGGGCCGAGGTCACCGGAGCCGGGCTGCGGGGCCTGGCACACAGCCTGCCTCCCTTTCTGCGCAAGGCAGGAGCGTGTGGAGACAGTACTTTGTCAGGGCTCCAGAATGTTGCCAGTGGGTTCTCGAACGAGCCCCTAAACTCCTAAACGAGCAAATGCTGCAGCTCCGCAAAGCCCAACCGCTTGAAACCCAAGTTGTTTCTCTCCAGTTTGTAAACTATCAGGCAGGTACTGAAGCAAAGTCGGCCTTGCTGTATCATCGCGTCGTGACGCTCCCAAACTCCTCAACAGCTCAGCGGCCATGACATGTTGCCAACCTAGCAACGACGGTTGCCTAAATGCGGATTGGGGGCGCGTAGGGGGTTCGATTCCGCGCAGCAGACACTCAGACAGTCAGACACTCAGACAGTCGGACGCTCAGACACTCAGACATTCGGACACTCGGACGTGAGTTGGTCTTGAAGGGTTTGACTGTCTGAGTGTCTGGCTGTCTGCCTTCTTGGTCCGCTAATTCAGACATTCAGACGCGAGCTGGTCTTAAAGATTCTGACGGGGGTCGTTTCCGTGCAGCAGACACTCCGACACTCGGACACTCAGACACTCGGACACTCAGACATTCGGACCCTCGGACGTGAGTTGGTCTTGAAGAGGTTGATTGTCTGACTGTTTGACTGTCTGCCTTCTTGGTCTGCTAATTCAGACATTCAGACGTGAGTTGGTCTTAAAGAGTCTGACTCTGACTGACATTCAGACGCGAGCTGGCCTTAAAGAGTCTGACTGTCTGAGTGTTTGATCTCGGCCTGCGTATGCTGGACTTCAAGTGTCTGACTGTCTGACTGTCTGCCTGTCCGACTTGCTGGTCTGTGTATTCCGGATTCGAAGAGTCTTACTGTCTCAGACACTCAGACACTCAGACATTTAGACATGAACAGGTCGGCTTGCGTGTTCTAGACTTGAAAAGTCTAACTGTCTGACTGCTTAACTCTCTGCACATTAAATATAAAAAGAGAAGACAGTCAGACACTCAGACAGTGAGAGGTATAAGACCTGCAAACGTTCAGCCCGTCAGACACTCAGACACTTTGGGCTACGCAGACACTCAAACACATAATCCAAAAAGCTTATGACTACCCAACTTCAACGGAGATTCACTTTTCTACTGTACTTGGGTACGAGACCCATGAGCACCCAAGTCTCCTCCAAAAGAAAATCTGACCGTCTGACTGTCTGAATGTCTGACTGTCTGAGTGTCTGCTTTTCAGTTTGCGCCCCATTTGCACGCTCTGTCTAAATGCGTGAATGCAAAAGCCCGACAGATCAGCAAAGGCGACACAAAGCCAGAACGGAACAGAAGATGCGCTCACAACCGAAGTGAAGGGCCAGGTCCGTTCGTGAGGATGTGCAGATGTGCACATCTTAAGGTCTTCGGGTGATAATATGCTCCAGCTCCAACGGGATCCGGAAAGCCTTGCATGAAATGACGAAGCCCCAAAGACTGTGTCTTCCATCCTCGACCTTTAGAGAGGTTAGTTTGAGCTCGGACTCGGTTGGACTGTGCGAGTTCCTTGGCAGGTCCTCCTGAAGCTCATTGTCATCAAGCTAGCACAGACCTTTGATGGTTTGAAGGGGCTGACATTCTGCCTTCCTCAGAGCTTGGGGACATTAGAAGCTACAGACGGAGATCGTTTAGTGAGCACCTAGGCGAAATGTCAAGCCTTTGGCACCCTTTGGGATTATTCCGGGTGCTCCTGCGCCTGTTGAAGGCGCAGTGAAGTCCCCTGAATTGTGCCTCTCTGACTCAGGTGATGCTGAATATGTTTGCCGTTTGGTTCAACGGCGAGAAGCTTGGCGAGCACCACGAACATGCTGGCCATGAGGACAGCGGCTGCCTGTGCTGTCATCAACGTTGTGCTCTGACGGTGCCATCGTACCAGAATCGCGATGCAGAAAGTGGGCAGTTGCAAGAACTGCCTACGAGGAGCACCCAGCACCGTTCTACCAGAGACAGAAGCAGTCGAAGATGCTCGGATCCGAGCATCCTTTTGTTGTGTGAAAAGGGTCAAGCCAGGTGCCTTGTAGCCAAACATCTCCATCTCTCGCGATGACAAGGTGGCAGCAAATCAAAGCATTCGTTGGGACGGAGCTGGAGCGGCTTCTCCGCAGCTGTACGGAGTGCGCCTCGCTCGGGGCTTGGGAGCATACAAAAGGTTCATATGCATTGTGTGAAATTAGCTTGCCATAAGCCAGCAACAAGCTACAGGTAGTGCTGTGTTTGAGGCATCTGGCTGCGAGATCTGCTGCACTTCTCAGCCTGGACCCCTTTCTGCCCATAGAATCGGACACTGCACTTTGCCACCAGCTTTGTGCCGACACAGTTGGCAAGGTCTAACATTGATTATGGGCCCGGCGTGAGCGCCTTGGAGGTTTGGGACATGAAGAGCTGCAGAAAGTTGCGCTTTGCACGCGGCAACGCGGCAAGGTAGTGAGGAACTATTGGCACTGGCCTCCAAACCCGTGAAGCGTTCACTTGCAAGATGTTCCAAGGCCCCTACCCGCTGTGGATTTCTTTGCGTACACACCGTGCTTGCCCGAGAGTTGAGTCTGCATTTTTTGCATCTCATCGCTGATTTGATGGCTGACTGAATCTGATTGGCGCCTGCATCTGCTGCTGAGCCTTGAGGTTTCACAAGGGCTTTGCCGTGTTTTGGTTCGACGTGGTGGGGGTTGTCTCCTACGCCGTCGTCGCCCTGAGCTCAAGTTTGGGGAGCTGTGGAGGGCTGTGGAGATTAAAAGCTGTGACGTGGAAGCTGGCGGCATCGGCTCTCAAGGTTCCACTCTTGGACGAGGCCTGGAAGGACGAAGCCCGGCGCAGCAAATGCGTGGTTCTCAGCTTCGCTCGTTGGACGTGTTCCGCATAGCTTCGCATGGCTCCGCGTATCCCAAGAGTCTCTGCTGACTCCAGCCACTCTTGCATTGCCTGCTGCGCTCAGAATTCTCAGAGCAGGTCTCTGTCTCTGCATGTGTGTGTGTGTGTGCCGAAGATTTCGGCCCATCAGCAGAAGTCGTCCTGTCAGGTGCAGCGTTAGGTGTGAGAATGGGGCGCTTCGTTCAGTTCCTTTGGTCCTCCTTGGCCTGCGGAGTGGCATGCGTTGCGTCGGAGGACTGCGCAGGTGCAGATTGCTCCGATGCTTCCGCAGTACTGCAGCACAAGACCAAGGGCGGAAGCATTCACTCTCATCGCGCGCGCGAGTCGCGCGAGTGCTCCAAACCTTATCCCTTCATTTGGGACAATGATGCGAACTACGACGACACCTTGGCGCTCTTGTACCTGGCACACAGTGAGAACCTGGATTGGAAGGCGATCACCATTGAATCGGACGGCATGGGTACCCCTCATGGAGGGCCCACGAACATGGCAGCTGTGGCAAAGCTGGTAGGCTTGAGCCATGTTCCCATTGCAATGGGGGGCCTCTCCAGCTTGAGTCCTATTTCCACTATGCCTTTGCAGTGGCGTCTTGAGACCGATGAGTTCTTTGAGCGGGAATTTGAATCCGGGATCTTGAACATGACGGACAAGGCAATCGTGGACGAGACTGCGGCGCAGCTGATTGTGAAGATCCTGCGGGAGTCAGAGTGCCCCGTGGTCATTCTAACTACAGGGCCAGCAACCAATGTCGGAGCCTGAGCCGCCATGAGATCACGCCATGAGCTCATTCTGCTTGCTACTGGTATACCCAGTTCTCTCTTACTGACCTTACGGCAAAAAGTCAAAAAGCTTAGCCCATGGATCATGATCCCAGAAAGTTTTCAACTCAAGATTCTTGAGCTTCGAGCGTATGAGCTGAGGTGGCAGAAGCGCTGGATATGGATCCATCGATTGTGGAGAACATCCACGGGATCTACATGATGGGTTCTGCCTACGGCGTTCCAGGCACCAACAACGTCTATGATTGGCAGATGACATTCAACGGAGTGAACGGCTCCTGCACCGAAGATGGGGGCCAGACCTACACGGGCCTGTCGCCTCCACTGAACAGGAGCGGAAATATAAGCGCGATTCGTCCAGGATGCCGTGGCGTCGACATGTCCGTGCACGGCGACACAGAGTGGAACGTCTTCATGGACGTACGCGCGTGGCACATGGTCTATGGCTTTATGAAGGAATCGCCTGCGGATGTCGTCTATGTCTTGGCCGCAAACGCCACACTGAACATGCCGGTGACACTCCCTGAAATGAAGAAGTACGCAGCTAGGCGATCCAAGTCATTATGGCCAGGAACATTCCAAGGTAGGAGTATTTCGTGTTATTTATCAAGAGCTTTTGAATCTGATGTAAGCCACTGAAACTGGACTCAGTATGTCAGGCAGAAACCCTGGCGGATCCGAACCTCAGGATCTTTGTCGTCGAGCTGGCCGAGGCCTTCCTCGCAGCTGGAGAAGCCAAGTGGTGGGATGCTCAGTGTGCTGTGGTGATGGACCAAGTCTTGTCAGGGCTGAAGGAAGGGGTGTGCTCCAATTGGGCCGAGCAGAAGATGACCAGGGTATCCCTTGTGTGGAGATCCAATCTCACTGCTGGTGAGCTGAACCCTTATGGTAGCATCTATGACGATGCCGACGCGAATGCTCCCCCGGTCGACTACTGCTTAGATGGTAATGTAACCCAAATGTGGGAGGTCTACTGGCCCATGGTCAACCAGACCGGCTAGAGTGGCCGCTGGCCTGCAAGGGTCCCTTGCCCCAAAGTATAGCAGGTGACCCATACGTGGCATCTGCTTGGAGCAATGGATACACTATTGCATGGCCAAGTTTCGCACTTCAGAACTGACCGTTTTAGAGTTCGTTCGTAGCTTCGTGTTCCCGGCCTGGGAACCCCCTTGGAACGTCGAGATCGGCGGTTCCCGGCCTGGGATCGAATCTTGCAACGCCTACTTCGGCGGATGGTGGAGCCAGGGATCAAAAAAGGGCGCTGTGGCCGTGCCGTGGCAGGCTGGTTCTTCAGTCAGCTTCGCATATTGCAGTGGCAAGCGGCTAACAGGTTTGGACTGGTTCTTCTTGCCTTCCCTTGCGCTGAGCGCCACAGCTGCTGCATCGGTCCAAAGCTGAGGCAGCTGAGGTGTTCCGGATGGTAAATGTACGCTCGCGACATGCGTTTCCATCAGGCCTTGTTGGAGCTGACGTCCACCCTCAATGCACGCGCCTCAGGGAAACGCCCAACGAGGGCCAATGATTGCAAGGTTGCAAGGGGCAAGTTAGTACATAATTCTACTCGTGCCTGAGACAGGTTCCCCTATGTAATACCCCCCCTATATGTACCTTATATAGTAAGTGGCCCCCCCAAATCGCCCCTTAATAACCCTAAGGTCCCTTATAAGGGTCCCTCCTTTAGTCCCTTGAAGGTTGCCTTGACTGCGGGCTTGGCTGCTGGGTGCTGCAGCGCGGTGGTGGGAGCGCTGGTCTCTGCAGACATGTCAGAACAGGCACATTGCCTTGAGAACCAGCCCATAAATCCTGCAAACGAACCCTATTCCCTAAACCCCGTAAATCCTCATGCCCTAAAGAGGGGGGGGGTGGGTTCCCTAAATGAAAGAGCTGCTTGCCATTACTTTTTGTCCTACAAGTAGAAGGAAGTCGACAGCAAAGAGCAGGTCCGCATAGTTCATAGTTCGGTGCGCAGGGCGATAGAGAAGCATGCGCAATAGATGAAGCCAAATAAACCAACACATATGTGTATATATATATATATAACCCCACAAATCTACAATTTCTTTATTTATTAACATAATCTTTACCTCATCATGTCATGTGTGCGGGGGTGAATTTTCAGACTCGGCTGGTGGTTTTAAACATCCCGCCGGCCCCGAAGATTGAAGATGGATGATTCCCTACAACTCTTTCTGGGAATCCTCAATCTTCAATCTTCGGGGCCGAGAGTTCTGAAACTCGGCTCGTGGTTCAAAAGCGAGTGTTAAACCCCCTCCCCGAACATTGAACACTGGGTTAAACCCCCCCCCCCCCAAACAAAAAAATGCCGATTGAAAATTCACTGAAACAGTCCCGGGAAATCTTCTATCTTCAATTTTCGGGGCGTGGGTTTTAACAATAACCTCTGCGTGTGTTAGGTCTTAGGGAACATGATTCTGGGAGTAAAAATAAAAAGGAACAAGATTTATGGACGCCGCTCTTTAGGATGCAGCGATAAGATGTGCTGTGTAAGGTTCGTGTTTATGTCTTGGGGCGGGGGGGGGGGGGGTTCTCTTGTTTAGGACTTAAGGATCCCCCTCTTTAGGGTTTAGGACCCCCCTCTTTAGGGTTTAGGGAGCAAACGATTGGGGATCCCGCGCTTCGCGATGAGATTTAGGGAATAGATGTGCATGTGGATGTGGATGGGGACGTGTGTGTGTGTGTGAGAGACAGATAGTGCATGTTTATGTATGTATGTGTATATATTTTCCTGTACACATACTGTGGATGGACAAAATCTTGCACCGCTTTTCAGACACGTCTTTTTGTGTTCCCCGTGCCCCCTTTTTAACATTGGCAGTGAAAAGCTAGCGGCCGGACTTGCTCCAATGGTCGAAATCTTGCACCGCTCAAGTAGTCCCAGCCACCAATGTTAAGCAGGGGGTGCGGGGCTGGATGCCTCAATCGTTTGAAGTACGCATGAACAGGTGGTGCAAGATTTCGTCCATCCACCGAAGGGCAGAAGTGTTTTTGCATATGCTGATAGTGCGTACCCATTCTTTTCTGCATGACGCAGCATTCCTTCTACGCCCAACAAGTCAATGCTGCCAAAATGCTGGAAAATCTAGCATTTGCTGCTCTGGACATTAAGAAGCTAGAAAAAAACTGTATTTTATAGGAAATAAGCAACAAATGCATGCAAAATGACAGTCAACACTCAGTCAACACTCAGTCAACACTACAGTCAACACTACAGTCAACACTGCGAAAATGCTGGAAAAACCAGCATTTTGCTGTTCTGGACATTAAGAAGCTAAAAAAACTTGTATTTTCCTTTAAAACGAGTGAATTGTGGAATCTGCTGGTTTTCCCAGGGTTTTCGTAGTGTTGACTGTAGTGTTGACTGTAGTGTTGACTGAGTGTTGACTGAGTGTTGACTGCTATTTTGCACGTATTTGAAGCACCTTGGGAGTCTCGTAGAACATACCCGGCAATATTCGCCGAAAGGGACCGTATATATATATATATATATATATATATAGGCATAGATATACACCTACATATTGTCATATTGTGAAGCACATTCAAATTGTAAATGGCAGGCCCCCCATCTGGCAGATGTTGGCATGCGCTTGGCCCCTCGGACACATTTTTGCATGGTAGGATGTCGAGTATCCCAAGTGTCATGCTGCAAGGTTTTGTCTTATTCTTCCCCTAACCCACTCACTTGATGTGACTCTCAAGTTGTGGCTGTGAGAGGCCTGGGGCCTTCTCTTCGGAGGCATTGCCCAGTTTCTGGGATCACAACTGGGAGAGGCCGCTGGGATCGGGAGGAGCCCTTGGTCTTCTTCGAGATGAATCCGAGTTTCTCGGTCTTCTGCCAGCTATTGTGCAAGGCGATTTCACCATTCGCGCGCGCCAGTTTCAATCGGTTCCTAGTCCAAATGTATTCCAGGGCATGAAATCCGCTACTCTAGCCCAAAATATTTTTTTCACTTCCGCTGAAGCTTCATGGGCATGTGTTGCCAGTGATGGTTTGGTAGTGCAAGCGCGAGTCACCATAAGAAGACCGTCTTGTTGGCCCTACCTTTTTGCCAGTGGCTGTTCCTCCACAGCGCCTGGCTCGGCGTTAGCATCTGCTCCTTCGCTGCCCTGCTGGCTGCCCGGCACTACACCCATAAGGCTGGGGGCGAGATTGGGTGTGGAATGTCGATGCAAATGTCAATGCTAAGTAGTGTTTGAGGGGGCGAAAACTGACGGAAGATGGAGTTTGTATACGTGCTCGAGGAGAGAGGTGCGATCGTGTGCCTGAAGTACCCTTGGCTCAAAGTTGGAGGCTTGCGCAGCCTCCCAGCCAGCCCAAGGTAGTTCCGCCCGCGGTCCACAGTCGATAGCCCATGGACATTCGTGAAGCTCAAACCAGAAGTGGAGGATGTCGTAAACGCCCTGACAAAGACACCGTTGCATGTTGCCCCATGCCAAAGGAGGCCCCGTGTGAGTCGCGTTGTGAGACCGGCAAGTGACAGCAAGACAAGCATCAACGGCCTGGTGACTTTGCAGCCATGCAGCAGCCCGAGCCGTTGATCCTGAAAGCCCCCTGGCCAAGGAAATGTGCATGCGTGGCTTGATAGCTTGGCAGCTTAGGATTGACCCCGACTTATCATCTCATCGGTTTTGGGCTATGGGGAATACTTTAGTAGGTATAGAACACAATACCTAGTTTTGATGCAAAAATATAGTATCATGTACTACAATATTTGATTTTTTGCACCATATTCAAAACCAAATTGAATCAAGCATCGAATTAATGTAATGTGACGTGATATAACGTATACATCTACAACAGTACAAAAACCATAGAATACAATATCAAAATTCAGTATATCGAATGTTAGAAATCTACAATGTCGAACATTTCATTTCTATATGTATTGTGCTATGGCAGCGTAGACCCCAAACAGTGAGACAGTGAGAGACCATGGGAGCCCAGAAGTCCAAAGCGACAGCAGTTTCGCATTTCGTGATCTCCGATTTCCAACAGGAAAGGACAAGGTTTAGGGTTTAGGGTTTGGGGTTCGGGGTTTAGGGTTTAGGGTTTAGGGGCGAGAGCGGCCACGCTCGCGCCTAGGCGAGAGCGCGGTTTTCCTCCGACATGCGAGCAAGCCTCGAAACAAGCCATGCGTGTGCGCGGCCACATCGACCTAGCCCCTCCGACTCTGGATTTAATGAATTTGGTTTCAATTAAGTAAATGAATTTAATTGACATAATTGAAAAATTAAGTAATCTAACAAATAGAAAATATTCGAATTCAATCAAGTGATAGTTAAACGAAGTAATGAAAAACATCATGTCTTTTGTCATTTTAATTAACAGTTTAATACATTTAACAAATTCGATCCGGATCCGGGCCAGGATTTCCTGAATTAGGAAGGTTCTGCTTAGGGAAATGCAGCCCCAAAGACTGAGTGCGAGATTGTAGCCTGTTTTGTTATTGGATGAGTTTTTGTTGATAATTAGATCTTGGCAACCGCTCAAATCCACCCTCTCATATCTTAGTTATTCGTTAATTGGGCCCGGTCCCGAGGTGGGAGTCCGGCAATTAATTTCTGAAAATCAGGAGGGGACTAAGTTTAAGAAGCGTATCAATTACAATGTATATCTGTTATATATTATATTATATTATACTATATTATATTATATTATATTATATTATATAATCTATATGTATATGTATAGAGAGAGAGCTAGGAATACGTATAAAAGAGTATATATGCCTACGAACATCACTCAAGGTCATGCGCCTGCGCCAGCCAGGGACGGCCCCACCGCTGCCGTTTCAAGGTGCGGTGCAGGGCGCCTGAGGCAGATAGAAACCACCGACAACTCCCTAAGGGTTCATGTACCTTATGATTATATACTTGGACCCCAAAGTCCCTACATAGGAGGTACTTTCTTCCCTGTTTTGGTACATGGACCCTTACGGACTGGGCAAGCACATGCTCCTGCAGGGCCGTGTGTTTTGTCTAATGCATATGAAGGATGATTAGGAAGAGCCACTGCAGCGGCTGATTGTGGTTGTCTATAAATATAAATATATATATATACATATATACATATATACATATGTGCATATATGTATGCAAGCATTTACACATGTATACGCAAATGTATGTCTATGTGTGTGTTTCTGTGTACTAGTTTCCAAATGTTCGTTCATCGATATGTCTCCCTGCCACAGCAGAAAATGGCACCCTATATGGCACCAGCGACTTTCACCTGCGCACACCAGGTCTCGACGTGCCCAAAGCGCTGGTGCCGATGGTGACAGGGATGCACTAGCTCAAGGTGTACCAGGGGTGGAATGAGTTCAGGATTCTTCTGTGGGCTTCAAGTTAGTTAAAAATCACTTATATCGGATTTTCCAGGGATGTTGAGGATGTTCGGATGCTGGGCCAAACCTCCCTCAAGTGAAGACAGCGGAGACTGGAAGCTGGTTGCCTTTGAAACGGAAGGGGGGTGTAGTGCTAAGGGACCCTGCGTGACTCAAAGCAAACCCCCCCCCTACCACCGTAATGCATTCCTGAACCCTGCCCCAAGCTCGTTCCACCCTCGACACTGAAGCCTCTAGTCCAAGGCTTTGCAGCAGTCCTTGGTCGGCGAGCCCTTCACAGGCACACAGTGAACTCGCAGAATTCGAGTCTTCATCTCTTTTGGGGGCCTGGGGTTGAGGGTTTGATGAATTCAGGGGGGTCCTGCTTGGTAATGGACTCGATGATAAACGTTGTCTATTCGAGGAGCAGGATGTCGCACCACCCTCAGCTGGAGAGGAGTCCGGGTCATAGAGAATCTTGCCTGCGAGCCTAAGCAAAACAGGCTACCTGCACGTCTTGAACATGAGCCAGCAGATGGTGGAGAACGTGGCCCTGAGGGTCGATATCGATATAGGTGCATGGGAGTCACACTTTTCAATTCCGGAAAGTTTGGCCTGCTCGTGCTTCTTACAGGCGAGCTAGAGTGCCTGCCCAACCCGCGAGTCAAGTTTGGCCTACCTCTGCTTGAGGTGCCTCGAAGTTCACTTTGCTGAACACGGCTGTCCTTTGGCTTGGAGAGCAGAGTGCGCCACAGAAAATACACTAAAGCCAAATATGAGGTCTAAACCCCAAATAGCCCTACATCCATGCACCCGACGTCCGTTTGCGGATTCCCCAGGCTACTCCAACCAAGACTCTGCCGCCAGGCCATATGGTGTTTGAGCTTGTTAGGTTTTGGGGGGCTTTAAATCTAAACCATTTGCAACAGACTACCATGGTCTAGCAGGCAAATCCCGGATCTGAAGCCTTCGGTCCAGACACTCTCCTACCCACCCAAAACTCTTACGCAGGATCCTCCTGTTGTGTTTTATCTAGAGGTCTTGGAGCCCCTGTGAATCGTGAATCGTGAATGGCACCGGGGGGGTGATCCAAAGTATGGTTCCTTCTGGCACCATAGATGAACTACAAGGATCCTGCAGACACAATATCCATGGAGGCCGAGACTGGGCTATAATATAATCCTAAACCCTAATTAACTAAATCCTCAGCCTGTGTCTATTCAAATGTTGAGGCTTTAGGTTGGGGTATACTCGACCCATGCGCGTCATCATTTGCCCTTAGAGTAGCGAACTTCTCCGAAGGACCGCGTGCCTTCATCATTGGTCTGTTTCGCTTTGAGCGTATAGCGGTTACTCGGGGTAGACTCAATGAGTGTAGCTTCTTCCGGAAGTTAGAGGAAGGTTCAATTGCGTAGATGTCAGCTCGCAGTAGAGTAGTACTGCAGGGTGCAGAGAAGCTCCAAGCTCCAGTCTTGCTGCAGAGCAGGCGAGTTCGTCGATGCCCTCGTGCACCACGAGCTGCGTGACGCTGGCACATATGCTGCCGAGCTTCACAAGGGGGGAGAGTAGGAAGCACATTTCTCTGTGATCTTGGATGGTTCCACAACGAGGTTGCCAGGTGCAGCCTGCCACATTTTGATTTGGTGCTGCAGCACGCCCTTCAGTCATGGGCATGTGTCTGTGGAGACTCAAAAGGCAAAGTGTCGTCCGCATCCTCCTCTCGTGGCTACAAGGTCTGCCGAAGATAGAAATACTACGGTGATCTACGGTGGCTACTTTTAAACATGTGGAGGGCGGGCCCAAGCCGGCAAAACTCCAAAACCCCGCGGTCGAACTTTCCTTCCCCCCCAACCCCACCACCGCTGCAAAAATCAACCTTGAACTTTTGACAGTCCTGCCACCCCTGCCACCCACCGCTTCCCCGGGCGTTAGTTAGATTAGGTTCGGGCTTGGGTGCAAGTTTTGCAGTTTTTTTTTTCTATCTTGGGCCCCGCCCAGTTATGAGCGTTGACGGGCGCGATGCGTGTGCTCCCATGCCCTTGCGCACTCAGGCTTTGACGTGCCTAGTTACATACAACAGCGCCGGCGAGCAGGCCAGTGATCCATGACCTGTTGATAGAACTGGAAACTCGAAGCCGTGAGCATCCGTATGGCATAATTTTCCCCGAAATGCTACGATGTATTTCACAGGGTCATCGGGGTTACTTCTGTTGCGACTCCGACAAACACCTTGTTCGGATCCCTGGCCAGGGACAGTTCAGGCGAGCTTATCGATTTCCAGCGCTGCAGCCATTTGCGGTTTCGCATCGCGTCGTTCAGATGGAAACCTGGCAATCATGTGTCTAGCATCATTTCTGTGTTCTGTCTCTGCTTCATGAAGTTGTCGGACTAGGATGGATGAGGAGATGCATATCATGCGTGAGCTCAGGATCGACAACTTCTCGTGGAGTGCTGCTTGCATTGCATGCCGCTGCGTGTGCGCTCAAGCACAAGTTTCACACCTGTCATTTCATCCGCCTCGATCTGCCCCACTTATATCCCCCCTTATACCCCCCTTATTTCACCTTTATACCCCCTGATTTCCCCCTTGTGCCCCCCCCCCTTCTACCCCCCCAACTGAGGCTCAATCGAAAATGCCACGCAGGGAAGCATCTACCTGCTGCTTGCCTGCACAGGGGGAGCCCTGAGGCGCACCAAAGGAAGACACAAATACACTACTATATTGATACAGATGTATTCTGATCTTGTCATATTGTAAAAAGTTAGTTTTTTTCACTGTTGTATGGTCATATTGTTGTAGAATCATTTCCT